TTAAGAACCTAAAGCTCTTTATATATTTATATCTATAGGTATAATTAAAAGTATATATATTTAGCAGAAAATAGCTAGCTATTAGTCTTCTAGAAATACCTATAGATAGGATTAATTATATATAGTCTTATTTAGCTATATATAATATTAATATATAGCTACTTAACTAAAAGACTTAAGGTAATATTAATTAGGATAAAATTAATTATAGAGTTAAAAGCTAGCCTTATATTATTCTTTAAACCTTTATAGTAAGGCCTTTAATTATAAAGGATACCTTTTAGCTTTTTTTTAATTTTCTTTCTTTTTATCTTTCTTACCTCTTTAATCTTTATTTAATATTATAAATTAAAGAAATACCTTAAATATATTTAAATCTTTATATTATCTCTCTTTTTTACCTTTTATTTTTTTAGCTTTAACTTTAACTTTAATTTTAGCTTTAATATTATTCTCTTTTTTTTTATTTTATATAATTTCCTTTTTATTTTTTATCTTTCTTTTAATTTTTATTATATACTTTAAAGTAAGTATTTTAGTTTCTGCCTACTTAATTACCTGCTTATTAGACTATAGGGTATTACTATCTTTTAAATTATTTTATATATTAAAGTATAAAAGTATAAAAAAAACTAAAGCTTTAGCCTTTATAAAAAGTATAATACTTACTGCCTTAAAAAAGTCTTTTAGCTATAAGGTCTTATAAATAATATCTCTATATATAATAAATCTATTTAAATATATATTAATAATATAGCTATTAATAAGCTTCTATTTTATTAATAAAAACTTTTTATAATAGCTTAATATAATAAAATAAACTATTTTATTATAAAATAAAAATATAAAGCTTAATAAAGCTATAATTTTATTTTAAATATTTTTACTTTTAACTTCTTTATTATATTTTAATATAGAAATACCTAAAATAACTTCCTTAAGGTATCCTAAAGTAATATAGAATATAGCCTTTAGTTTAATAGTAATTATACTTTTATAGCTTATTACTATAATATTATATTATTAGCTTTTAGTAACTATATTAATAGTATTAATATATATAATAGAGATTAATTATATTTATTTAGTTTAAATTATTATTAAACTAGACCTAAAGGGGCTACTTATAGTAAGGTTAATAACTTTAATAGCTTTAATAAGTAGTTATTAATAAAATAGGTAAAAACTAACTTCTTTAAAGGCCTTTAATTCTATATAAAGTTTATTATAGTTATAGCCAGTCTTAAGGCAGAATTTAATATAATTTATAATAATAAAAGTAAAAATAAATAGTTTAGCTTTAAATAGTATATTATAGGCTTATATAGGTATATATAAGAGAGAGGGCTATAGCCTTTAGTATAGGCCTTAATTTTAGTCTATAGTGCTATATTATAGCAATAATATTTAATATAATAATATTATATTGCCTAGAAGCCTAAAGGGGCCTTTAGTGCTATATTAGGGTAGATAGAGTAAAAAAAATCCCTTAAGATGAATTTTGGCATAGATGTCGATTTGGCCTTCTATATCAACAAGGACTAGCTTATACCAGAATTCAAGGCGTGTTTTGCAAAAGCTGCCCGTAGCACACGCCAATCATGGCAATGCCATGGTTTGAGTTGGCCGGTGTAGGAGGAATCATCGGCCGATGAAAACGCCGGGCTACCGTAACTGTCAAAAAACCTGTCATGGATGGCCTGACACAACGCCTGTGGCCTTACAATTCCGCACTACTACTCTACTCTGGGGTTAGACCCATCATCCCCGCATTGCAACAGTAGCAGCACACCACTTCCTCGGTTTCTCGCTACCAACCTGTGGGGGATCCGGGGAACGAGCGGCTTTCAACAGGCGAATTGTTGATGCAAATCATGTGTACGGCAACATATTGGTCGGAATTCTCGCCGACGGTATCTGGTTCATGGTAGACATAAATAAGAGTGCCTCTGCAGATCATTGACTTCATCTCAAGACAGCAGATTTCCATTTACATTTGGCTCAAAAGGACAATCACAAGAGAGAAGAATCAGCAATGGCGAAGAGCCGCGAGAATGTCGACATCGTCCAGGCTGAGCATGAGCATGACGAGAAGAAAGGGACTGGCGATGTAGCACCAACCTCTGCATTTGCGAGCTTGACGCGGGCTCAATGCGTTAGGAAGTTCTGGCGACTCTACATCACCGGACTGGGTGTCTCTCTGGCAGGAATGTAAGTACCAGCTCCGAGCCACCAGCTTTTTCGTTAGGAGTACTGATCCCCTTGTTAATAGGTACGCTGGTTATGCAAACTCAGTTATCGGAAGTATCATTGCCAACGAAGGCTTCATCGAGTACTTTGCCACCGTCAAAGATCCACAAACCGGCAAACCAGCTCTCAACTCGCAGCATATCTCGCTCTGGGCGGCCTGCTACTTTGTCACCTCCATTCTTATCCAGACTATTGCTCCAGTCACTGCGGACAAATTCGGTCGCAAATTCAACATGTGGGGAGTGACATTCTTTCTGACTCTGGTAGGTGTCTGTTCAAGTCCAACCACGGCAGCATAGCTCTAACAGACAACTATCAGTCTATTGTAATCCAGGTCATTGCGCCCAATTGGTGGACTCTTCTCATTGCTAGGCTCGTGGCTGGCTGTGCAGGCGGTATGATGGGAACATCAGTCATGGTCTACATGTCAGAGGTTGCTCTCCCTCAATTCCGTGGTGCTCTTCTAGGCAGCTTCTCCCTTGCATTTGCGTTAGGTCAAGTATTTCTCGCCATTGCTTTAAAGGTCCTTGAGGAGACGAATCCGATGGCCTTCCGTCATATCTTTTACTCAGAGTTCGTCTTCACTGGACTTTGGCTTTTCCCTATGCTTTATCTTCCCGAGACACCCTGTAAGTTCTTGTATCATTTGTTTCACCGAGACGAATAGCTGACATGAAGAATTCAGCTTGGTATGCATCAAAAGGGAGACACGATGAAGGCAAGAAGGCCCTGAAGCGACTTGTCGGTAACGTCGAGGGGTACGACATCGATCGTGAGTACTCGGTTATCCAGTATGAGATGGACGAGTCCTCAGCAACCGCCAAATCCGGCAATGAAAACTCGGACTGGAAAGCTCTCTTCACCAGCAAGATCAACATGAAGAGAGCCGTTATCTCAACTCTTCCCTTCACGTTCCAAAACATCGTTGGAGTTCCCTTGATGTTCGGTTACACAACATACTTCTTTCAACTGGCTGGAGTCAGTGACCCATTCTTGGGTAACATGGTCAAGCAGATGGTTCTTGTAGTAGGTATCATCATTTCCTTCTACACCGTTGACAAGGTTGGCCGAAGAACGCTCGTCATCGGTGGTGGTGCCGCAATGGCGACTATCTGCTTTATTGTTGGCGGTTTGGGTTTTATGAAGCAGACCAGCGCTTCGAGAATGGCGCTGGTCGCCTTGTGTTCTCTTTGGGCTTTCGTGTATGCAAATACACTCGCTCCTATTGGTATGTTGTGATCAAGTACTCGGGTCAGTGTGTAACTAATCCTTTGAAGGCTGGATCAGCTTGGTCGAGATATCGAGCCCAAGTCTACGTGCAAAGACGACATCGATTGCAGTAACAATCCAATACGCCACTGGTATTTTATTCGTAGGTCAACGCAATTACCGTCACAAGTTCTTATCTAACCTCGACTCAGAATTATACCGTTCCCCTCATGTTGTCAAATCAGAATGCTGGATGGGGTCAAAAGATCGGCCTTTTCTTTGGCGGTATTACCTTGGTGTACTTGATTCCCTGCATCCTCATGTTCCCCGAAACGAAGGGTCGAACGTACCATGAGTTGGATGAATTATTCGAGCGACGCATTTCTGCTTGGAAATTTGCATCGACAAAAACCTCACATCAGGAGGAGCTTGAAGCCAAGGTTGAGGGAGAGAAAGTCTAAAGAATGGGGGCTGATTGTATTAGAGGCTGAGACGACAGGAAGGTGGTGACGAGAGATAAATGATTGGCGCAGAGATTACGCTTATTAGTGTATTAAGCACAATTGCCAAGAAAATGTTAATATGCAAATTTATTGCCTTTCTTAAATACGTTAGAGATTCGTGACATGAAAAAGACATGCAGGTTAGTCTTTGTCATGGGTGATAGATAAGAAAACACGATAAGATAAGATAGGCAGTGGATACGACCCCTTTTCATTTACTGGGTGCGCTCTTCCTCCCAAGTAACGTATCTATCTATATTAAGAAGAGCCAACATTCTCAATCCAATTCCACCGACTTGTCCTAGGGTCTCACAATTTAAGACAGAATTTGCCACTGAAATGGTGTATCACGGAATACCAAGCAAAGGGTGCGAAAACTGCAGGTACGCTTCACTATTGTCATCATTGTCCGGCCAATGCCCTCTTACAAGATTACATAGAAAAGCACACAAAAAGGCAGGTAGAAATCACGGCTCCCTATCAAACAGATATTAACCACATGAAGTGCGACGAAAAGCATCCACAGTGTTCGCGTTGTTTGACTCTGGGCAGGATCTGTTCTGGTTATAGAGAACAATCAAGTCTCTTGTTTAGAGACGAGACCTCCAAGACAAAAGACAAGATTCGGCAGCGTAAGAGATTACAGCATGAACGAGAAACAAAATGGAGGAAGAATACAGATTTGTCGGTTATAGAGACGCCTTTTATAAAGTACGGGGCTCCACATCCTCCACTGCTCCCCTCAAAGGAAGAGATGGCGATATGCCACTTTTATCACTCTACAGTCGAGAACCTATCCACCCAAGATCCAGCGCTCTACCTCCACGAGGAACTACCGCGTCTCCATGCTGCATCACGGCAGGGTTCAGCTCTGCACTTGGCATTGGAAGCAGTGGCACTTGTCGCTGCCGCGGAAATCATACCCCATGCTGCCCAACTGGGCCTGAATCGATATGTCAAAGCCGTCAAAGCCCTGAGGGAAGCAATGAAGACTGAGGGACTGAGCTCGGATTATCAGTCGCTTTATGGTGTTCTGCTCCTTTGTGGCTATGAGGTCAGACTCTGAACCTTTAATGTCCACTGACGTCTGGGTATTGAACTGACACGTCTTAGACCATCACTGGCCATGTTTCTATGCCTTCGGCATGGGGAACCCATGTGGACGGAGCACTGGCTCTTTTGAAACTTCGAGCAACTCACGGCTCTCCCTTCTCACGCAGTATGCACTTCTTCATCCAGAAGAATGTGGTAAGATGCAGAATTCCTATACTTGCAACAGAAGCTTCATACTTACTCCGGCAGGTCATGAGCCAGATGCAAATTTGTCAACCCGTTGATGAACTCTTCACGCAAGGGCTTCCCTCTCCAGGTCAAGACCCAGAGATCCGACTGCTTTCAATAGCAGCTGGAATACCAAGGGTTCAACACCAAAGTATCGACCTTGCGCAGCTTGAGACGACTGATATAGAGAGTATAGTCCACGATGCCGATACCTTGGATTCCTGCCTATCCACTTGGGCGCAAGGACTCCCGCCTGGTTGGTCCTACGCCACTGCATTTAATATCAACAATGATGCACGCTCAGACTATGCTCCACGAAGCGTCCACAAATATGCTCACTTTTACACGGCTCGCGTATGGAACTTCTACCGTATCTCGCAGCTAATTCTGCTTTCAATTCGACTTCGCGCCTCGTCTATCTTACCTTCATTATCAGATACCACCAAGGTTAGACAGAAAATGGTTGCATTAGTGGAAGACATATGCGCAACAGTGCCTTATCTTTTGGGCAAAGATCTCTGCATGAACCTCCAGTTCGTCACCAATCAAGAGAGGCAGGAAGGTTCTTTGCTGAACTCAGGTTCAAATGTCAAAAGAGTCGGGAATGTACAAACTGGAAAGTTCTCTCTCGTATGGCCCTTATTTGTCGCTTGTAGCGCCACAGAAATACCCCAACAGCAAAAGGATTGGATACGCAAACAGCTGCAATATCTTGCTCAAGACGGTGTTCCTATTGCTCAAACAGTCTGCAATGCGGAGAGCCAGATACTCGATGGTAGGCCTGAAGTATTTCGCTTTGACTGCGTGTAAAACCTCGGCCGGCACTTCAAGGAACGGACGATCGTAAAAATTTAGGTTTTAAGCATTGAGAGATACTGTTATGATACAATACTATCTTCGCACAAATAAGTTTATGCACATTCATTCAAGAGCGTGCAAGAGAAATGAACTCCTTATCCTTAAGGAGCTTCTCCATTGCTGCTGTTGACAACCCAACAACTACATCCAGACCACCATCCTTCAGCCTGGGCAAAATCATCATAGTGCCATCTGAGCCTTCACCGGGTATACGAACAGCCTCCAATGTGTCAATGGCATCGCCCCATTTATGCCCATAAACGCCAAGATCAGCCCATGAAGACTCAACAACATCCGGGCCTAGGAAGCCATTAAAGGACAATTTGAAGTCGGTAGGGTCAGGTCGCGACTTCAGTAGCCCAATAGTTGAAGCGATCCTTCCAGGACCGTTGAAGTCGCTCAAAGACTTCCGTATCGTGGCTGAAGCTTGCTTCAATCCGTTGTTTGATATAATGGAAGCCACGCTGATATTCTCAGTAACGCAGCCCATTGAAGCATTGCCCATATAAGAAGGTGGCAGTGGAGGGCTCATTCGGTTGCGAATGTTAACTGCAAAGCAGAAGCGCGATGTTGAGTCCTCTGCAGTGGGATTACTGAAGACCCCAGAATGCATCCGCGCTAAAGTCATACGCTGCCATATAAAGGCACAGAGAGCATCATGTGAGGAGAATGCCCCTGCCTCTTCTTTGAGCTTTGCAAGAGACTCTGGTGAGAAGTGAAACAGATGGCTGGCCAGTGGAGGCATCTGGAATCCAGACATACTTGATAGATCACCCTCCGAGGAGTGAGGAGTAGGCATCAGAACGTATTCAGGAAAGGCAGAAACGTCGACGTTGCCGAGACCCCCTTCCATCAAGGGACCGCGATCGTTAGACGGTTTATCAAACGTGGAAAAAGATCCAGAGCCACCGCTAGCCACGGCAGTATTGTGTGACCAGGTGCTCAGGATGGCGTCTAAGGCGGACGCGTCACATGCAGAGTGATGAACTCCCACTGTCAGCAGAAGACCACCTTTGACAAAGTTAGCCTGAGCTGCAAAGACAGGCTGGTTGGGCCCTTGCGGCATGACGTCAATAGGGCCGACCTGGGCTGTAGCGAATTCTGCCAAGGGAAAGTTTCTCCCCCTTAATTCTGCATAGGATGGCAGCGCATCGGTAAGATCCTTGGACCTACACAGCGATTTAGTCAGCGACTGCCTGAATGAGTCTTTCAAAGAGATAGCACGTACGGGAATCTGTGTCCAGCTGGCGAGTCGAGAATCTGGACCTTTCGGTTCTTGGGATCTTGTCCTTCTTCCGGGCCCTGACCAATCAATCATATTAGTAAATGTTAAGTCGGATGTCGAATTTATTACTTACAATTTGTCCAGATATCCAAGGAATGGAAGTGACAGTGTGAGCCAATCCTTTCTTCAAGTTCTCATATCTGCATCTGTCAGTCGTCTGTCTTGCATATTCTCATTTACGAGACTCACATCTGCCACTTATCCATGCTAGGATTGGTCGGAAAGCAAAGGACCAAGCGGATACCATATAGCCTGGGCATATTCATATCCAATGGAGTGAGCTTTTGGTTTGCAGAGGGCGGCTGTAGGCCATAATGCTCCAAGGCTACAAGAGAGCGATCTTGTTCTCCCTGAGGAGTGGGTGTCTCGGACTGGAAACTGAGAGTAGAAGGCATTGTGATGATAGGAAAATATGAGAATGGTGAGCGAAATAGAGACGAAAAGGGGAAAAACGACTTCTTAAATAAATAATCTAAGATTGTTATGGTAGTTGTTTGAGCCTGTCTATGCAGCTACTTTTGGACTCTTTCGATGTTGATTGGACAGCTCAATGTATACTACATTTGGTTAGTATGTTGAGTCCTGAGCGGTGTCTCTGATGGACTCCTTGAGCCAGGGGTCAGTATAAACCCTGGCCCTTACAGGCCCAAGTTACCATCGTTTTACCGGACAGGTCCGTATGTCGCAAAATACACATCTACCAATTGAAATTCAGGATCGAGGGCACAGTGGGGCTATATTAGTCGTCGACGATCTTTCGCCAAGGCTGATAATATCACGAGCATGAGTGCTGTATATGAAGTGAAGGGTGGTGTATTGCCTTGGCGAGTACTGCTATTACGTAACGCTCATATCTATCTTAGAGTTAATGGAAATGTATTAACTCAAGGAATATTGCCATTGCAAGGTATACTGCGACAACATCATTGGCTTAGTCGGGCCTTAGAACAGTAGAGATGTCCAGATCAAAGCAGGGAGTCAAGGGCAATAACATTACACCTATTTCTCTAGTTCTGTCTAACAAATTGTTTGTTGTGTGACTTGAAGAGCTTAGATTGGTCTAAGAGCTTCCCCGTCGATGACTGAAAGAAGTCGACCTGTAAGTTCTGAGCATCCTGGAACCGAATAGTCGCGTAGCTAAAGTCATCTGCATACGCAAATGCGTTGCCCGTGGCATTCTTCCCTACAGCGCTCAGCCCCTCGATGTTTCCAGTACCTCCTGACACAATGTACATAGGAGCCTTGGGGTCTTTCATTCCCGCAGCATCAACAGTCCCGTTGTAAATGGGGTAGAAGCGTTGTGAGTTATGCACATGCCCAAAGACGGCCAAGTCAACGCCGTACTTGTAGAATAAGCCCTCAAATGCCTTTTGGCAAGGCTTGCAACCTTCATCACCAGTGGTGTACCAAGGGCGGTGACCTGCAACAATGACCCAAGGTGTTACTGTACGGTCAACTGATGCAAGGTCAGCTTCCAGGAATTGGAGCTGCTGATTAGGGCTACCAAAGGGTCCGCTGTTGAGATTTGCTGAGCCACCTGGTGCATCAGGTGCGTTGGGAAAGTCGGTTTCAGTATCAATCATGACAACATGTGCCATACCATATTCGAAGGAGAACCAGAATGGCGGATTTGCCAGTTGCTTAGCCTTGTTTGCGCTCACCCTTGCCGCATCGTCAGAAGAGGTTGATGGGAAGGCAAGCGGCATTACTTGGCCGAATCTGTACATGAAATCGGTGAAGTTCTTCTGGCCCTCAGGACAGAGATTGTTGAGGATGGGGATCTCTTCACATGCTGCTTCATGGTTTCCTGGACTGACCATGTAATGTTTTCGACCGGAGATTGGGGCCAACTGATTGTAGAATGTCTCAAGAATCGCTTGATATGCCTCCTCGCCATGAAGAAGATTCTTGGGTTTCAGGAACCAATCATCAGCGTACGCAAGATCTCCAGGATGAATGATGAATTCATAATCGTCAGCTGTTGTTGCAAGACGGCCGATGGTTGTGTGGTTCAAGGCAGGTCGAACGTTGGGGATAACGTCTCGCTTCGTTTGATCCATGTTGATAGTGAAGCCATCCTCTCCATAAACACCAAGGTCAATGATGGCGTTAATGGCGAATGGTGTCTTGTCCCCAGCTGCCCGGGGACTGAGGAACTGGTCAGTAACTGAACTTTTAGACACAATCTTGTAATAGTATGTCGTTGCTGGGGACAGATTGTCAAGAGTCACAGCGTTGGCCCAGGTGCGTGAAGTGGGGTAGGTCAACGATATATCCGAGCATGCTTGCTTATCGAGCTTGTCTTTTGAGAGGCCGTATTGCACGCAAGGTTTGGCTTGCTTGGCGTAGGTGTTCCAGCCAATAGTTACACCTAGTAGCTATGAGCGACGAAACGTATTACAGGTTGATACTAGACTTACTGTTTGGACCATCTAGCGACAGTCTTTGCTGTACTGGAGTTGAGAGATCGGACGGGATGGGCGGGAAGCTGACCTTGGCTAAAGCGCCAGTCGCAAATAAGAATAGACCAACAATCATGTCTTGAGATCAATTCGCCTTGCTGCCAAATCAATTTGAAGTCTTCAACTCAAGCCTGCCCAATTCAGGTCCTTCATCTTGCACTTTATACTTATTCTCTTTTTACGTATTTTAGATGATTGTGCCGGATAGCCGACTGGATAGCTTAGCTTCTGTAAGTATCCTGATTGAGAGTATGCTCCGAGGCCATATGCATGAAGTCTGTCGCATTTCCATCTTTGCTTGTGAATACCAATCAGCGCGTGGTTATTCAGCAGCATCTGATTGGCGGAGCACCTTCGTTAAGTCGGTCACCCAAAACGGCAGGCAAATGTCTATCATGCAGCTCCACTGACTGGACCCTGACATTCTTTGGCTGAAGCCTGATATATTTATTGGCAAAAGTTCCAGCTGCCAATTTTGTCGTTTTGTTCTGCTGTGAAGTTCATCTTGGGTCAATCTGCCCTTTATCTCTTTGTGTCAGACTAGGTCTTGGCTAAGTCGATGTTCCCTTTGCGGTCAGGCGCAGGAATAGCGTGATTGGTTGATTAGAAGGACAGAATCCTGTAGGGTAAACCGCCAAACAGTGCATGATAGCTAAGCAGATTGCTCATTCTAGTCAGTTCAAGTAGGCTTCTTATAATGTAATGGTGATAGCAGAAGAATAAAAACTCTTATTGTATCTATAGAATTGAAAATACAAGTTTTTCAAGGCTGTTGCTGTAGCTCCTCTTGTTGCTATTTAACTGTGCGGTCAACTGATGCAAGGTCGGCTTCAAGAGATCGAGCTATAACTATTGTCTACAATTTGCCGAAAAGAATAAATTATCTAGGACAGAAAGCTTCGGTAAGTTAGAAAAGCCCATACCACCGAGCACTCCGTAACACCGAAGACTGAGGCGCTCAATGTGGGGCTATTCTCGGGACTGGAAATAATGGCCAAAGCTCGGCACCGGTGATCTCGACTGGGGACCAAGACATAGATGCAGATGGAGCTTTCGGCTTGCCGATAGGAAGTATGACTTTTGGTAGGTTTCTCCGCTTTTGGAGTAAATACGTAACTGCAAAGTTTTACCGAAATAATGCCGCAAAAGTGTGGGGAACCTGAGGGCATGTCTAATTTCGGTTAGTTTCAGTTGCTGGATGGCATGGAGTGCTGTATCTGTGTTTCTTTGCCGTTAATAATAAGTTACGCTTGTTTTCTTAATCCTTCCCCAGAAAATTAACCCCGCATATTATTTCGCTATTTATGAATGCCTTGCCACAAATTAGAATAACTTTCTAAGAACTCTTTCTTATAATTATACCTTCTGTATAGCCTCTTTAGTAAGCCCTCACTACTGCTTTTTCGATAGTAGCGAGTCCAGGTGTTACTTTTCTTTTTTTGCGCATCTAGCTCGGTACCTTTAGAAGGCCTGGTAACTTGGCCTAGTTAATCCCTTTGACATGCAAAGAGCACCAGGTCTTTCCGGAACTGAGCATAACCCTGCCTCGGCATTACCGAGTCCCGCCCCTAAATTGATCACCGCTGTAGGTCCGGGAATCTGAGTGACGCAAATGCTACCACCATTCTTACTACTTTTGACTTTCATTCAGGGACGTCATGAAGCGCCAAGTACCCCAGGAGCCTTCAGAAGACAGCCAACCATCCCGAAAGAGAGGCTTGTCCAGCCGGCGTCCAAGGGCCTCTCAAGCATGCCTTTCTTGCGCTGCTTCCAAGGTTCGATGCGACGATCTTGAGATATGCCGACGTTGTTTGAAACGTGGTGTTTCCTGCATTCGCTCAAGTCAGGTTAGAGAAGACTGCCGGATGGCATCAGCAGAAGCTCCACGCGCACTGAGTGAGACCAGCACCAGGACCTCAATCGATGGAGGTGATTCTACCACTTTATCGCTGACAACAAACGACTCTGCCGAAGTGCCACCATTGACCATGGCGAGTACAATGCCTGCTGCCAGAGACGAGGGTGGGGAAGGTCTTTTGATTGATGATGAAACTCCTGACTTTGATTTCGCTTTTCCGAGTTCTCACATGTCACTAGATTGTTCGCGACCTCTACAGGTGGGTAGAACGACGTACCCCGCTCGAGTCGGTTGTCATGCTCAAGAGTTATAGGTTTGCAGTGACATCCAGGCTACAGACATTATCGACACGACGCTAAGTGACACTGCTGGGTGGCCAAAGAATGCCTCGCTTCATGCGGAATTCGACCCGTCCTTTCTTCTTCCTCTCCCCTACATTGATTTCTCCGGATTCATCGACGGTAGTTCATTGCACAACTTCACAGACTCAATAGCCACAAGTTCCAAAGGCTTGCCTACTGAGGATAAACTCGGGTTCGAGGAGGCTGTAATAGCCTACAATACCACTTTGGGAAGTTGGAAACCCAGTAACGAGGACTACATAGCCACAGCAAGAGCCGCTCTCTATATTCCGCTCGATGAACAACTTCACCTGGGGGAGGGCCTAGGACATCTGAATCCCTCTGTAATCAAGGGGTCTTTGTCGTCTGCGAGAAGAGATGAGATCATCGTGGCTATGATCGATTGGGGTCAGACGGCCCACTCATTGCAGGCAATTCGAATGTTCCCCTCAACCGAGATACTGGACAAGTTTCTCAAGGTGTTCCTCACCACTCAGGAAACCAATGCCTCGGCCTTCATCCACATTGCGACATTCGATCCCTCAACTTGCAGTTTATATCTTGTTATAGCATGTATTATTGCTGGCGCTGCATCATCATCCAGGCCTTCTGCCCGCAAGTTCGCCTTGGGACTGTTTGATGTGCTACGCCTCCACCTTGCAGCATCAGTAAGTTGCAATTACTAGCTCATGATTTCACGACTAATCTGATAGCAGGGTGAACGGGAAAATACCTTGACTCGCGACCTCTCGTATGTCTAATCGCTTATGATACTGTCAGAAACGGGCCTTTGGAGTGGGGACAAAAGAATATCTGAGATATCTGATTTTTTGTCAGAGCTTACAATATTAGTAACCAAGTCCCACCAGCAAACCTGAATCTTTCAAAATCTAACAGGCGACAGATGCTTCGACACGCTGGCATGCTTGCTCAACATACCTATTTTCATCCAAGTCTCATGCTGGATAGGCCCTCCAGCGAGCTAGATAAGTCGTGGGGAAAATGGGCACAACAGGAGTCCTTCAAGCGGTAAGCCTTAGCTCATTACTTCTATATAACAAAATCTAACAAACGATCATAGGACAGTTTTCCGACATCTTCTACAATGCACGCAGCGATCCGTCATAAGGAACGTGCAAGCACAGTTGTGTCCGCTCGAAGTCTCGACACCTTTACCGGAAGATTGTCGGTTTTGGTTTGCAAAGTCAGCGGCTGAGTGGGAATCCCTTTATAAACAGTACCCTCGTCCTGTAGAGCCTAGAATAACGATTAACGACTGCCTCTCTGATATCCGATCGATCGACCTGCCCTCAAGTCTGTCTAAACTTTGGGTGCTATATTCTTTACTTTCGCTCCTTATCAAAGATCATCGTCGAATTTCAATTCTACACAAGAAACAGGATCCTGGTTGGTCGTTCACTGACGTGACTCGATCACCTCTTGACTCGCATCTGGTATTTATATTCAGTGAGTTGCGACACATAATTGAAGGAGATCCAGCCAAACCACCTATTCTCACCTTTATGGTAGAGTTCAACATCCTTTACTCGGCCATACCCAGACATCTCAGAGACAGTCTTTTAACCAATGGGAAAAAAACGTCTGCTTCTGATGATCTTTCTCAGCTTCAAGAATGGCAAGGTCGATCCAGCAGGTCAGCAATTTGGCATGCGGGTCAGCTTATCAGAGCTTGTAGAATGATCACACCAGAGGAACGCAGAGATTTCCATTTAATTGGTGTCTGTCACTCTCTGTTGTGTCTCTGGACTTACTGGACTGCCACCAAAAAAAGACCGTCAGGTATAACAGGCACAAAAGCCATTAGTCTACCTCGGGTTCAGTTAGATGGACCTGAGTCGCTCGAGTCTCAGAGATGGATTAGTCACAACAAAGGGACCCCGTACTTGGCTGAGCCATGTGAGACCGATGGGATATGTGGTGCTGAGCTGGTTCCAGTTGATGCTACTCATTCGGAAGAAAACCAGTCCAGACTTCCTTTAGTTGGTATATTGAGTGAGTGCTTCTCAAATAAGGTAATCGGGCGATATATTCCCATATTTCAGCATGCTTCACTTGTCTTACATAACTTGGAAAAATTGTAATATATAAAATGTTTACTGTAATTGTGCTTATTTGCCTCAGAAAAGCCTGTTTATATATCTCATTATATGCCAAGTTCCGGGCAATACACACCGCCGTCCTTTACGGAATAGTGGCGCTGTTTCGGCTTCGGCATGCCGATTGTGAATTCTCATCCCGATTTGCGACCCGACGTCAAACCGACATGGATCAAATTTCCTGTGACTTTCTTACCATATTTGAAGTAGTGTCTTTAGAAAGAACTTCGGCAATCCGAAGGTGCACCAATCGATTTAAAACTATATAACTAACAAGCACCTGACCTAGAGTAAACCATTCGTAGCACCTTCCTTTGAAGTCATTAAAGGAGACTTTATTAAAAGATTAAGCATATTATACTTTTCCATTAACGTCATCCAATGGCCCTCTTCAACCTCGACCAGAATTGGGCCGATAGGCTTCCAGCACACATTTTCTATCTCATGATTGGACTTACACTCCTTACTTCCATAGCTCTATTTATAGCTGGAAGAGTCGGTCGAAATGAAAATTACAACTACCCAAATCCAATACCTGGCATCCCCTTCTTCGGTAATAGCTTCCAGGTACCATCTGAGGGGCAAGGCCCATGGATGACTGAAATCGCCAAAAGAACAGGAGAGATGTGAGTTTGCAGCTTGCCTTGCCTTCTCTTTTCCCCTGCCCTCATTTGCTCTGGAACAAGCCATAAAGCTGACCTCGAACCTCTAGGTACACTATGACATTTGGAGGAACACCTTGGTTATTCCTGAATTCCCGCAAAGCAGTGCATGAACTGCTCGAAAAGAAAGCAGCCATATATTCTTCTCGACAAAACCTTCCTATGGCCAATGACCTGATTTCAGGCAAGAAGCGATTTCTCTTTATGCCTTATGGATCTGACTGGCGAAGAACGAGAAAAGAAATGCACCTGATTCTCAATAACACCAAATCAAACCTGTTCGAACCCTACCAAGATATGGAGTCGCGCGCTCTTCTTTATCATTACCTGAATCACCCTGAGAATTGGTGGGAAGCAAATGCCCGCTATGCCAATTCCATCATTATGGGCGTTATCTACGGCAGGCGCTCAGACTTGGGGGACGAGGACATGGCTAATTTGCTAAGCAACCTTGCGAAGTCTACCCGCTATGCAATGCCTGGACAAAGCCTAGTGGATATTTGCCCTTGGTTGCTGAAAGTACCAATACCCAAGTCATGGCAAGTTTGGCGATGGTGGGGAGATGCTCTTCATCAATCAACAAGAAAGTGAGTAACCTCAAGAACCAGCATGGCTCAGGCACGTTACACAAACTCATACTTACGGTGTCTCAATGCGCTAGGGTCTTTAAGAAGTTGCTAGATGACCTTCTGGAGAGGCAGAGACTTGGGACCCAACAACCGTGCTTCATGACAGAATTCTTGGAGCGAAATACAAATGGCGAATTCACCGAGGAGGAGAGCTACTGGATGGCGGGTACTCTTATCGAGGCTGGATCGGATACAACAAGAATTACTTTGATCTTGATCTTGGCTGCTGCGGTGATGTATCCCGACTGGGTTGGGAGAACCCAAAGGCAGCTTGACTCTGTATGCGGTTACAAAGCAGAGCGCATGCCTACCTTTGATGACATGGCAAAGTTGCCCTTGGTCAAGGGCGTGATCAAGGAGGGTCTGCGTTGGAAGTATGTTTCTTACCTTCGACTTCTACTTGCTCTATTGTCCGGATATTGGCTAATCACGCTATAGACCGTCAATTGTCGAAACAGGGGTCCCTCATGCGTTGACAAAGGACGATACTTTTGATGGCTATCGTATTGCTGCGGGAACCGTCGTAACATTCAATAGCTGGGCAATATCCCACCTAGACTATGAAGAGCCAGAACGCTTTTATCCCGAAAGATTTCTCGATGACGATCTGGATGTTCCTACCAAAGGACATGTGGGGTTTGGTGCAGGTAGGATATTCTCAATTACTGAGCTTCTGTAACAGAACGGCGCACTAACAGACGAACAGGTCGGAGAGTGTGTGTGGGGAACAATGTGGCATGGAACAACTTGCTCATTTCGGTCAGCAGGTTGCTCTACTGCTTCGATTTTGAGGAGGTTCCAGGCAAGCCAGTAGATGCATCGAGGAGTTTTCTTATTGGGTATGGAGACCCACCCTTTATGGCCACGATCAAACCTAGATCTGAAGCTCATGCTCAACTGATCCAACGAGAATGTGCTCATTCAGCAAATATGGACGATTAATAGCTTAGAAGCAGGTTATAGGTATTTTACTATCAATCGTTTTTTCTCTTTTAATTGTATTATTTTAGTGCTTGTGTTTTACATTCATTATCCTTTTAAGCAGGCCATAACTCCGTGTTAAGCAAGTATGCTTTTGTTGTAGAAGTAGAAAGATCTGGTGCGACCTGGCCTGTGGACCCCGCATTCCGGCGGTAATCGGGCCAAAACGCTGAGGCAGCGATTCCTGAGTCAAGATGCATTAGCCGATTGTGGGGTATGGGGTAATCTAACCTTGGGGAACAGAAACTGGTCAGCTCCCGGCTACAGGCTGGTTTTTTCACAACTCTTGACAATTGCAAACCCAGCTATCGCTTGTCAATCTTCAGAAAACGTCCCTCAATGCGCTTCGTCAACCTCGGTATGCCAAAACGCCGTGCAAAGCAAGCATGCCTCCACTGTAGAAGTAGAAAGATCCGTTGCGACCTGGCCTTTGGAGGTTCGCCCTGTCTAAATTGTCGTTTGGATGAGGTCCACTGCGAGATCAGGGGCCGAAAGCCAAAGCGGTAAGTCGTCCATTGACCTGGTCGGGAAATCGTAAGACGAGTGACGCTCACCCAGGTCATAGCAGAAAGCTCGAAACAAAACAGGCCCAAGTTACCATTAAGACCAACACTAGCTCTGCGATCACTATTCCCAACGACATCTGGCTACAAGATGGCATGTTTACAACTAGCAACGATTCTTTCTTGGGAGACTCCCCATTCTCATTCTCGAATCCCTCACCATTCTGTCTTGACAACAAGCAAATGGAATCAACTAATGCTAGGTCGGAAGGCGATAGCGCGGCGTCGAAGGCGACAGATGACCGCCTTGCGTTTATAAGTAAACCGGATCTGAGTGGGCTTCCTGCAGATGACGTTGGCCTTTTACGACAGCACGGATGCCTCAACGTTCCGCCCAGACATATACTAGATGAATTTATTCGAGAATACTTTCTACACGTGCACCCAATGCTACCCTTGATGGATGAGTCTGTGTTTTGGGAACAGTATGGACAGAAGACGAATAAGTTGTCTCTATTTTTGATCCAGGCGATGCTGTTTACCTCTTGCAGCGTGGGTGAACCTGATGGCATTCTCGAGGTGTAGCTGACACTACTATAGTTCGTGCCTGAATCTGTAACGAAAGAATTGGGGTTTGAATGCCCCCGCCTTGCCGCTGCGAGGTTTTACCAACGAGCCAAGGTAACTTTCTTCTCGTCACTCAACACTGACGGTAGCTAACTTGATTTCGCTTCTTTATGTCTTCGACATCGAACCCTCTGCCATTGACCTAGCACGGGGCGCTTTGCTGCTTACCTTTTTACCTGTTTCCTCTGGCAACGATCACCCAACACCTAACTCAGTATGGTTGACAAGAGCGATCAAACACGCCGAAAGCCTTAGTGCCAATCATGTAAGGCACATCAGTGAACCAGACACAGCTTCACTAAAACGTCTCTGGTGGTGTTGCATCATCCGTGATCGCAGTATTTCTCTCGGACAAAGGCGATGCGTACAGATTCCGGGGGAATACCCGCTTCCAGTGGAAGAAGACTTTAGCTCTGAGTTCAACGGTTCTTTGGTCTATACGCCGCACACAAAAGCCCAGCTATTCAGGATATTCCGTCGATTAATGGAGTTTTGCTACACGGTAGTAGATTTGCTTCAGCTTATGGCTCGACATCGCAGTGCTTCACGTAACCTGGAGACTGTATGTGCTGATGATCGCGCAATTCTATCCAGATGCAGAGATGATCTTTCGGCCTGGTTCAGTGCCACCGGAGAAGAATTCCTCAATTTAGGCCACGGAGGTGAACAACGACATCCGTCTGTCATTGTCTACACAAACTTCATATACATACAATACTAGTAAGTTAAGTTGGCAATCTACACAAATAAATTGAAACTGACAAGATGCAAGTACCGCCAAACTGCTCCTCCATCATCAGAAGCTCATCTTTGATGTTGGTTTGTCTGATTGGGCCGAGTTCCTCCCCTCTACCCTGGTCGATGAGGTTCGTTCTGCTACCTTTCGCTTTATCGACCATCTTTCAGAGCCTGTTAGACTTGGTCTTGCACGCTTTTTGCCCATCAGTGTGTAAGTACATTACGTCCAACAAAAATGTAGCAGATAATAATGACCTATCTCACCAGGGCTGCCTTTGCCGCTGTTCCCATAGCGATGCATGTATTCGAAGCTAGGCTCGGCGGTCATGCCACAGAAAATCAGAGGCGGCTTTGCATACTGATCGAAATGTTGGAGGCATATCAGCCCCGGTTTGAGGGTATCGAACCTCTGGGCCTTCTGGTCCGCCAAACTGTCAGCTCGGTCGAGAGTGGTCTGACGAGTCAATGGAAGGGCTGCCTACGAAGCTGGACAGACATTATAGCCTATCAGCCATACCAGTATTTGAGCTGTACGTCAGAGATGGAACGAGTTCTGTGCTCTTCACAATCGCTGCAAGGCTGTACCATGTCGAGCAGTAGTTGGTCTGCTATGATGGAATACTGCCGCCCCTCGAAAACCGCGATCTCACCGAATGTTTCTGATGCTGTTGAGGGTCTGGAAAGTATTAATTGCCTTGGTTCTCTCGATTTGGTAACAGAAACGGACGAATCTAGTACATCTCCGTCTGATGGACAGGTATCTGATTTATATAGCCTGGACTGGGATCCATTTGCTAGCATGGAGCTTGAAGATAGAGAGCTAGACAGCAGTGAAGATGGAGTGGACCTCTTGGACGAGATATTAAAAGACTTTTAGTAGATGTTTTGGAAAGTCAACGTATCCTATGATATCTATGGAAAACAGAATCGGAGGCTTGGGAAGTAGTGGATATTAGCTGCTGGCACACAGATCTATAAGAACGAAGAGAGATGTTATTATTAATCAGTCAATAATGAGAGCATGGCAGCAATAGCAGATTGCTTATCAGAATTGGCTGTACATGGAATCATCTTCTAACACTTACTCTCTATGCATGACATTTGCCACGAACCTGAATCATGACATCATTCAGACCACCAGCCCGAACATAGGTCATCTGATGACTCTGTTTACCAGCTTTGTTTCTCCCCCTCATTTAATCCTTGACACTTCGTGTGATCTCCCGGTCAGCCGGCTTACTCAGGGCCAACTGACTCAGGATTGTCAAATGTCCAAGAAGGGGCAAGGAAGTCTCACGTGTCTTGCAGTACACACTTGCATAAGTGATTGACTACCTTGGTAGATCATGCGGGGTAACGATTTCGCCCCTGAGTCAAGATATCAGATGTCAGCATTACATATAGCTCAATAGTCACAGTATAGAGATGCCTTATATCTGCAACTGGGCGAGTGATAACAATAGCACTTACTCTCTTTCGACTATCAGCAGCCAATCTTCACTATGATTACCCCTCCGAATATTCAACCCGACAGCCTTTCTGCCCTTTGTTGTGTGGGTTTATGTGGTGTCGCCACTCACCTAGCTATATTTCGAATTGGAGAGTGGGATGTTGCCGTTCATCGTATTGTTGCTTCCTTCGGTCTTATCTATGCATCTCTCTTTGGCCTCTTAGCCTATCATAGTGACCAGGATCGCCGGAGCCTTCTCGATGCATGGTATATTTCTTCTGTGCTCCTGGCAGCCTTCATAGTCGGAGTATACAGCAGCATGGTCGTCTACAGACTTTTATTTCATCCCTTGCGCCGATTCCCTGGTCCAAGATTTGCTCCCCTGTCTGCGCTGTGCGCGATATCAATGTCGATGAAGAAGTTTCATATGTTTTTGGAAGTGCAGAAGCTACACAAAACCTATGGCGATTTCATTAGACTGGGTATTAACTTAGGTCTCCGTTCTATATCAACGCAACACTAACTCAGTCAAAGGTCCATCCGAGATTTCAGTTGCGTCACCGAGCGCCGTGGCCACAATTTACCAAAATTCGTCTCCTTGTCTAAAGGGTCCTTGGTATAATGTTTTTGTGCCTACTATATCTTTGCATGCCACAAGGGATAAGCAGGAGCATACACTCCGAAGAAAAGTATGGGATAGAGGTCTCAATGCCAAAGGTATGAATAAGTTAATTTTGTGATCATTGCAAAGAAGACTAATTATTCCAAAAGCCATGAGAGATTACGAGCCAAGAATTGAGAAGTATACGGGCTTGTTGATGAATCAGCTGCAACAGAGAAGTGGCAAGCCGGTCGATATCACGGACTGGTGCGGCTTTTATGGTTTCGACGTCATGGGAGACCTCGCATTTGGCAAGAGCTTCAATATGCTTAATGACGGAGTCAAGCATTACTATATGGAACTTACTCAAATGTCTACCCTGTGGGGCAGCCCAATTGGTCGAGCGTCTTGGCTCTATTTATTGATCAAGGATGTACCTATCCTGAATCGCCAGATTGTACAATTCTTAAAATGGCTACGAAAACATGTGGATCAGAGGACAAAGGTAGGCCTGCTGTCTATTTGTATCTGCCCTTTCTCTTCTAACTAGATGGCAGAATGAGCCGCACCTGCCAGACTTGTTCTCCTGGCTCCTAGGTGCCTACAAAGAACAATCAGTCCACACAAAGCAAGACGATCTCAACCTCTTGGGCGATGCCCACCTTATTGTGGTTGCAGGGAGGCATGTTTCCAATTCAAGATATGATAATATTTGGCTGACTCATTTACATAGCGACACTACCTCCACGACCATGACCTGTGCCTTGTTTGAGCTGGCCAGCCATCCCCATGTCTATCAGAAGTTACAGAAAGAAGTTGACGATTTCCTGAAACAAGGGGACTCTCCTCATAGCCACAGTGCCCTTTCTAAACTCAAATACCTCCAAGCTATCATCGATGAGACCATGCGACTTTACCCAGCTATTCCCTCGGGTCTGCAAAGAATTACACCCCGACAGGGCATGGAGATCGAGGGAACATTTATCCCAGGAAACACGATTATCCAAACACCTACATATACACTGAACCGGGGTAGGTGGTGACCCTAATATTTACTGATACATGCCTGACCTTTTTGACTAGACGACAGATGCTTTGTGCGCCCCAACGACTTCATTCCTGAGCGATGGACAACACAACCCGATCTCGTTCGCGATGCTTCAGCATTCGCCCCTTTCTCGATTGGTGAGTCCCAAAAACAGTTCAATCCGGAGATAATTTTCTGACATTATATAAAGGCCGTTATTCCTGTGCTGGAAAGCAACTGGGTCTTCTTGAAGTTCGGCATGTTCTAACCCAGATTGTTTCCAAGTTCAATATCCGCCTTGCGCCAAACCAAACAGTTGAGGCATTCCAAGAGGGGCTAGCAGACGGATTTACACTGCTCTGCCCCAAGCTGGAGATGGTTTTTGAAACGCGGATCAGCTGATTTGGAAGATGACTCGAACTCCATTTTGTAAATATGAGTTTAAAGGGTATCCAAATCCCAGTTATAGTCCCCAACAACAGCATCATAACACCATCCTTGATCATCCTCGCCACCTTGAGAAGGGTCAGAAACTGTGCCCTCCATAACCCTAAAACTGCTGCGGTGATGCGATGGAGTTCGGCCTCGAGATAGGTATCCTAATGAGTTGGTCTGGAGAGGTAAAGGATGAATTGCAGCGGGCAAACTATTTTGCGGAGATCTGGGCACATCATTTACAAGCGCAGGGAAATGATAAAAGAAATCTGAATGCATGGTCCAACAGCCGAGATTGGAGATTGTATCCTTGAATGAGGACGAAAGGCCATACCTGCCAAGCCCCACGTTGACGGAATACACATCACGGAACTCGTAGGGCCAGGTGATGCGCAAGTGCTCTTTGAACATGTGCCAGAATAAATTACTGCAATATCGATGCGGGTAACGTGAAAATTGTTGTCGAAATGCCGGCCTGTAGGTACAAATCAGCTCTTGAAGCTACGTTAATAAACGCTGGTTCAGTTCTTACCAAGCAAAGTAGTCTACAGCTGGATGGCCAGAGACATCTTGTGATGACGTACTTAGGCACGCCAGTTAGTTAAGAAGCAAGTCAAACTAAAGGAGGCACCAAGACTTACGATTTCATATACCACCGTGGTAGAATGGCATCAATGTTGGCCGATGTTGGGTCAGCGTAGGCGCGCATGTAGCGGTGAACCATGTGAATCACTGCGAGACGCTCAACCTGGCCACAACCAGAAAAGCAAATTTCGTCGAGGTGCCGAATCCTCCTCCAAAGTGGTGTCATTCTCCCTGACTGCTCTAGGTGATCCCAGCCGTAAAGTACAACACGGACTGGGACGTCTTCGCTAGCCTCGCACTCCAATTCAAGCATCGCGGCTGGCAGGAGTCCAGTAGGGCCTTTCAGGACCTGGTTGCCTGCTTGCCATATGTTACGGCTAACAACAGATCCGTCCGAGAGCCGCCTTGTCTCTGAGGAACTGCAATCGCAAGGCGATGGCGCTGCTGGTGTCTTGTCATCGGCGTGGTGGGTATTCGATGCACAGTACGTTGCCGAGTCTAGATCTACACAGGTCTGGCTACCATCTAATGCTGTGTCCCCCTGGAAAGTTCCAGTGAAGTTGGGCGAAAAGAGACTAAGCGCATTGCCGGCTGGAGATATCTCCAGCAAGTCCGGCAGCAACGCCGGAGATTCTTTGTAGACAGAACCTGACACGCTTGGCTGCTGTGCCTGAGGTTGTTCTTGTGATACAGTCTTACTCTCCCACTTTTTAGCTTCAGAGAGATGCCTAGTAAAAGACAAAGACGTAGTATCAAGAAAGCGAACCAGCGAGTCCCGCTGTTTCGTCACCTCGGATAGCTGAGCCATCAAGGATAAGGTTTTGTCGTGATCATCCCCGCTGCTCAGCTTCTCGACAAGGTCTTCAAGATACGCGATGCGGCTCTTGGTCCTCTCGCGTGAGACGCGCTGGGCCTTGCGGTCAGACTCCCTCTTCTTGAGCCTCTGGGGGTCGGTTGTGGGCGACCGAGCTCGTCGACAGGTGGCAGGGGTGTTTGCGGACATGGTGGAATTTGAAATGCTTTGGGTTCCACTGGCTAGTCCAGGGAAGTCGGCCCATCTTATGCCTCGGGTCTTGGTGTGGGGTAATAAGGGGCTGGCGCCCCGGCATTTCCTAATTGGGCAAATTATTACATAATGAGGTTTTGTTTTAAAAGTTCAAAGTTTGTTTAAATTGCAGAGTACGATACCTAGTAAGCAGAGATATAGAGGATACATTAAGCTATATATACTATAAATAAATAGCCGTAGGCTTTAACCCTGTCTTTCCTTACTAAATCCAAAATAGATAATACATAACAGTACCCTTATTACTACTTGCAGCGCACTTTTCCCCGGCTAATGCTAGACTACTTTGGGCAGTTTGGCATAAATACATAATGTAAGAGAGACGACATAACAATGAATAGTTACGCTCTCACCGTAATACATAATCATTCACTCTCACCCCTCTCTTCCTAAGGCCCTCTAGGGATATTCTTGGATCGAAGTTGGTCCATCGATCTTCTGCAGCAATATACCAAAATGGAGTACCATTGTTCCTCCAACGTAGTTCCCATTCCTCAGGGACCGGCATACCATCTAACCGTGGGTCTATATGGTGCCGCTTTCCTTCTGGATCCTCAAAGACGGAGTTTTCACCTCGTCTGGAATAGCTTAGGCGCCAACCCTTTGGCATCTCGCCGAGAATTGCTTCGCCGGCCAAGAGTGCTGGATGAGCACAAGGCCCTTTCAGCTTGTACTCACCGTCTTCAATCGACCGAAGAACCATGGGCAGATGGCAGCCAAGGAAGACAACGATTAGGTCATTCGGCTGACAGTCTCGTGGGCCCAGCACGATGTAGCCCATTTTGGTTAGATATATAGAGCGATTGTGCATGTAGTAAGTCAAGTGTGCAAGCTGGCCACCGAGTGTTTTACTGTGGGTGCTGATTCGCTGCGCCAGCTGCTGGTGCGTCTTGTTGATGAATGGGGGGTGGATGAAGAAGTCGTTTACATGCAACATGAGGGAAAATTGCTGAACCTTTTGGAAATCCCAGGTCTCTGGATGGGGACCCAGGAAGCGTTGTGCTGCCTCTAGGACAGTGGTTTGGAGCTGTGCTTGACAATTCTGACTGCCCTGGGGGCCGACTAGCTCAGAGATGTAGTCGCAACGTATACCTTGTAGCAACAATTGCTCCTTGGTAAACGCATGCCCATTTTCGGCGCAGCAAAGGGCAGCTCTACCGTAAGTCATAGGCCGCTGTAGCTGTATCCGCTCCAAATCGGGGATCCATGTCGGCTCAGACGCTGAGTCGCACAGCGACATCAACTTGAGATCCTGATGGTACGTTGAAGCCCGCACCAAAGCATCGCGATGAACGTCCTTGACGTCCTTTCTATAGTCAACCACAATTTCACTAGTAAAGCCGCCCTCTGCGAGACCCAGTAGTGCAAAGACTCTATCCCTGGGCTCCGTCACCTCACAGGCGTGTGTGTAAGCTACGAGAGAAAAAAAGTCCCTCAAGTGTCGGAGCGCTGAAAAGCTGCGTGCGTTGGAAAACTCGACCATAGTATGGATGTCGACTGTGCCAGCCAATGCCTCTCGTTTTGCAGCAATTATCTCGATGGCACTCCTGAAATGCACCCAAAGTATACTGTTGTCTCCTACCAAGAAAATTGTGTCTTTACCTGCCAATAACGCGCTGGGCGTACTTGTATATATCGCGCATTCGCAAAACCTGCGCGGCTCGCTCATCGAGATCCTGTTGATTGATGCAAATTGAGTCGGCCCAGAGGATCTGGTTATTGCTCTGGTGACGGATCTTCCTCAAAGCAGAAGCAAGATTGCGACCGATAGCGAGCGACCCCGAAGACTCCTTGTTGCAAATGCAAGATTTGTCGTGGCCAATCGGTCTTGGATGCCTGAGATCTATATACTCTGGATCTGACTGGTCACCCCAGGTGTACGACATCGCATCATACCGGGTAATGTGATCGCCCGGGATATGCTTCACGACGACGAGAGCGCCTGAGAGGGCGTCTCCCTCTTGAGCTGCTGCATCCAGCACCAACACCCTGATCTCACCCTCCTCCAAACTGTTGTATTTGAAGTTTTCGATAGCCATATCCAGTCCAGGCGTCGGAACAAATGAATGATAAAGCTCTTAACAAAGTCAGGTGTTTATGTGAGATTCAAGGCTGAACCAAACTTCTTCATGCGCCCCACAATAACACTTGTCCTTATCAATCCACAAAATTAAAAAATTGACCCACAGGATGATTCTTTCAGCAGGGGACAGCTTGCTGTAGGCTGTTCCAGGTGAGGGCAGGGCCTTGCATTCCCTCGCCTTAAATCACTCAAGATAAAGGTACAGATCCCTAACACGCTTTTATTACAAGTACTCGATACCCACGGATCAATTATGCAATATGTTCACCGGCAGCAGTTCTACAGCGATGTATACACACTGCAAACCACCAGATCTATATATCCAAACATAAGCAATAATTATCCTCACTTTGAAAAAGATACTGTATCAAATCCTCACAAGCGAAAGACTGTATTTTTGCTTCTCTGATTTCTTATATTTATGTCTCCTATTATGCTTATTTTCATCCGGCTTATCTATAAGATTTGTGTTAGACGTTCTCTAGCATAAGTAAGCCCTTGTGAGACTGTACAACCCTACCGTACTACGTTGAACCGTGTGTTTGCTGTAATGTATCATACATTGTGTGCATGTTGTTTTCCGACTCAAATACACTCTAGATTGCAACACAAGCGGGCTAGTACCGCAACCTGCATTGGCGTCGCCCAAGTAAGTAGTCCATTGTGCAATCGTATTGTTATCAAGGCTCGGCTAACAAGCTGGCTGTGCGTCCACTCAATCATAGAGCATGTTTATCCTGCCGAGCACGAAAGGCCCGCTGTGATGTGGCATTCATGCCTAGTGCGTGCACAAACTGTATGCTTGACAGTAAGCAGTGTGTTGTCAGTTGTCGGCGTCGCTACAACGACAGGTATGAGTAACCCATGGACCCTCTGGTCTGGGAAGTTTTGATCAAGAACTAACATGCAGGTACTAGAAATAACAACAAGGAGCCCAATGTGTCAGAGGCCGAGACTCAGGCCAAGCCTATGTCAGCACCTGAGGAAGAGAATAATCCGCTTCAAGTCTTGACCGAAGCGTATTTGGGAACGCCAAAATCTGCGGAAGCAATGACTCGTCAAAGTCCGAGTCACAATCAGAGCCAAAGTCGACTTGAGGTCGCATTCGTATATTATCCTTTCCTCTGTATCAACCATCTTCGCTCTTTGCATACAGATGACATCAATTATCTGGTCTCAAGGCTGCTTTAAGTTACGAGAAAGTAGCTGCTTGGACCGGTTGGGACATTTTTCCAACATGGTCACCCAATCTTGCCTGTTGTTAATGAAGCCGAGTTCTGATCAGCTTATGATCCATCGACTTCTGGCGGTAAGACCAGTCGAGTCCCTTTTATGTTGCTTTTAGTAATCTTATTCGTGGCTTGCAAGGTAAGTCCTCAACACATTACGGCAAAGCTCTACACCAGTTTCGTCTAACAGTATGTGGATGATGATGTGCTTCAAGGCATGCAACATGATGTCACTTGAGATCTACTTTAATGTTAACAGCTACTTCAGCTTCTGTACAACCAACAGACTGAGTCATCGCCACTCATACTTGCTCAAGTCTCTCTTCTGCTTGGACGCTGGACCCTGCCCACGATGATGATAAGTTCACTAAATATACGTTGGCTACAATCAAGAATGGTGTATTAATGCAATTCCAGATATGTGTGCGGCGCGCGATGTGAGCCATCAGCTGTGGGGTCTATCAACTCAAAATAACACTCTTATCAAAGTCAGTCCGGGCAGTATACAATTCCAGACATTATATAAGGTAACTTACTTTTTGTTGAAGCAGTTCACTAAAACTACATGGCTTCAACAAGCGACCATAACCGTTGGAATTCGGATAAGGTGAATTCCTGAGAAACTTTTGAATATGGCCATAAGAGTGTTCAAGACAAGTGGCGTAAGGGAGGGTAGATCATTATGTGCCTGGACATCCGTTCCAAGACCTTGGCACATAACTTATACCATCTCGATCAGGGCAAGAAAGACATTAAGCTAGTGGGCTAAAATACATATTTTCTATATTTTATCTCGATATTATAAATGTGTTAAGTGTAGTCAGGGCCTCTCTTTAGAAGGATATATACTCCCACGAACTAAGTCTGTATAGTTCACTTTAACATTTTAACATGCGCTCATGCAAACGCTAACCCATTAAATAAACAAAATCTTAACATTGACTAGATGGATCGGCGATTAGATTTATTTAAACCACAGGACGTTGGTTCTCCCTTCACCGAGTTGTGACGTTTCAAGTCAGACACGAAGGGATAAATGATTGGACGACACTCATCCGCATTTGCCGACGAATTGTGGCAACATTAGGAAATCCCGCCACCAGAAGATTCTGATTGGATCGGAGTGAGGACGGATTTACCCGTCTCCCTTCAAGATGCTGTAGGTCTAGTGTTAGGAATGCCTAGACATGGTTATCTCATTCTAATGCTGTAAGGCAATGCCTGCTTTGGCTTTTACTGCTAAGGACACTTAAACTGTGTGGCTTAACAGCCTTTATGCACTAAATTATGATTCTTGTTTTTATTTTTTTTGTTTTCTGCCACTAAGATAGCCAAGGGGTCGAACTAATTGGAATACTCCAGACCCAGAAGTAATACACTGTAGATGTCTTGGGCGTTAACCCGAAAATGCAGGGAGATTAGGTATCTTGGCATAATTCAAGCCACGCAAATTATCCCCCCAGCTCACTCTACTGCCTGATGCATATAAATGTTGAACTTTATTACTCTTTCCAATTCGATATAATCACTCTGTCATTCATTTCTTACTCTAGGCCATTCTTTGGCAGCCACTCGTTCAACATGCGTTTGTCCTCATTCCTCCTCGCGGCATGTGCCTCGAGTGCATTCGGGCAGTTCAACCAGAATTTTAAGAGATTCACAAACACCAGTATTCCTGCCACTACGACTTCTGACTCCGTTCCTACTTCCCTCGATACAAGTGCTACTACAACTGGTAGCACTGCCCCGTCTACTGCACCTGTCTCTCTTGGAACGGCTCAGCTTGGTCCAGGGGCTAGTTACACAACTGCACTTGATGGTTCAGCGGCAGTGTAATTATATCTCAAAATTGCGTAGCAAGAAGTACTGACAGACTGTAGATCTCTCTTCATCCGAAATGGAGTTGCTTCCTTTAGACTCGTGCCCTTCCTAGCCAGTTTCGCGGGTCTTCGTGTCTTTGTTGTCTTCAGTATCCTCGTCAGGCCTCCCCCCGGAGGTCGCAAGCGTCAAGCGTTCGAAGGGTGCAGCCTTGAAGTTCAGTTGGATGGCCAAAGCATCTACAACCAGGTAATGACCAACACGGGTGGAGCAGAGGTTGGACAGAGAAGCAACCCTGTCAGGCTCAACGCCGAAGGTCGCCCTGATCTCGAATACTTCCTGACTTGTGGCTCTGATGCTGTCGAGGTTGTTGTCTCTCATCTCTCTTTTGAGCAAGCTGGCGACGATGCCGAGACCTCGCCTATTGCGCCCATTCCAACTGGCACTGAGACGCCAGGTGTTACTGGCACCAACTCTGAGGGTGTTGTAACAAATTCCGATGGCGAGACTATTATTCCTTCCACCACTGCTGCCCTCCCCGGTACTAACTCCGAGGGGTTCACTACCAATTCCGAAGGAGAGACTGTTCTGCCCCCTAGCACTAACTCTGCTGGTTTCACCACGAACTCGGATGGCGAGACTATCTTCCCTACTGAACCCGCCACTAGCACCAACTCTGAAGGATTTACTACCAACTCGGATGGCGAGACTATCTTCCCCACCGGAACCGCAACTGGCACTGAGGATCAATCTTCTGCTCCAACTGCTACCTCTCTCGCTGGCTTCCCTGACTTCGTTGATGCTTTCACCCTCTTTGGCTGTGTCGGATCTAGTGATGGTTTCCCCACTTTCGAGCTCGCTCAATCAGATACCTCTATGGACCTGGATCTGTGCTCTTCTCTCTGCCAAGGTCGAGCCTACTTTGGTGTCTATGATACGTAAGTCGTATATTTCCTTTCTCACTCATTCTGCAATTACTGATATTTTTAGTGACTGCTACTGTGGTGATGAGATTGATGGCGACGACACCGCTCGCGTTGAGCTAGATTCCTGCGATATTGAGTGCCCTGGAGATGTCTCTCAGTTCTGCGGTGGTGACTCTCAGCGTCGCAGGATGCACCGTCGCCAGACTATTTCTTCTGATCGCCTTCTCACTATTTATGTCGCTGCTGGCGGTCAAACTGATGTTGTCACCAACGAAGTTACTCGAACCGTCACTGATCAATCAACTTTCGTCACTACCTTCGCTACTACAGTTGCTGGACCCGTCACCACCGCCACCGAGCGCGTTGTATACATCTTTGTTGAGGCCGACTGCGGCAACTGCAATGGCCAGTGGGTCTATATCCCTGAAGTCTGTGACTGCCAGGGCGGTTTCCAATATGTTCCATACTTCTGCTTTGCAGGCAGCTGCTCTGGAAAGACCGTGTATAAGTCTGAGGAATGCCATGATTGGTGGAACCACAAGAACTTTTATGTCCCGACAGACTGCGAGGAATGTTCCGGTGGAGAGATCCTGTATACGCCTTGGGAAGATACTTGGGGTACACCCAAGAACTGCAAGCCCGAGGAGATCCCTGCCTGTGAGGGTCGCAAGTGTCCTCCTGTCTACCCGGACAACAACAAGGGCCAGCACGGAGGTGGTGGCAGTGATCATGGTGCAGTTATGCCTCATGGTGGTTCCAACAGTGGTTCAAATGGTGGCTCCAGCTCTGGCGATCAGAGCAAGGGCTCAAACAGCAATGGATCAAAGGGCAACGGCCCCGAGTGCATTGGAGATGACTGCACCGGACCCTATGGCGGCGAATCAAACTCCAAGCCTAATGGTTCTCATGAGTCTGAGGGCGGTGACTACCATGGCGAGTCCGCGCCTGACAGCAAGCCCACAGGACCGTCTACGGACAGCGGCTCACACGGTGAGCCTGCACCTGGTGGTAAGCCTACTGGCGTTCCAATCGTGGTTAACGGCGCTGGCAAGCCAGTTGCTAGCTTGTTTGCTCTTCTGGCTGCACTTGCCCCTGCCCTTCTCTAGATGTTAAATTGTATCCTTTATTCTTGGAATAATTAGTGCACTCATCTTATAGTAAGGAAAGTTTAATTACTCTTATGTATATATCTATAGTTGTTATGATGTAATTTAATTTACTTTAGTCCTCTTAATATCCATCTTTTATAATTTCAAGGCGGCCTGGCAAGTGCTTGTATTCAAAACGTAAGTGGGCATGGCACCAAAGCGACTCAGTCGACTATCAGAGTCAGGCTTCTCCGACTGATCATGGCCACGCATATCATTCATACTCGCGCGGTAGCCATACTCAGAAAGGTACTCGGCTTCTGCTTTCCACTTGGTGGTAGTCTGTCGCAACTCAGGAATAAACAGCAGATTCCAAACACTCAGAGAACTGGATTCTGTCTAATCGGCAAATGGCTATATCATGATACTTTATCTCAACAGGCCACTCAAACAATGCCACCCCAGCCACATGATCTGACAAACGAATGATTTATACCCCCATCGAGTTCTTGTGGGCATATAAATGCTTTCAGCCACAGATCTCGACTGCAAGCAACGCATGGCATAACCCCACTACCGCCCTGTGGCTGCCGTCCATCACGCCATTACTCGAGACTGTGAAAGCGCCATCGCCCCCCAGAGGTTCCAAGATGAATATTTCAAGCTTTCAATTGCTACGGATCCCTCGACAGCGATTTCCTTGTACTGCACTCACCAGTGTGACGAAGATCACCATCCTCAGAGAACAAAGACGGCATTATGTCGGAACAAACTTTCTCAACGAAACATCCCCTCGACAGTCATACCTCAGACCCGATCGTCACAACCGAGTCGGGTGATATTCGGGGCAGGACTGCTGACGATGTTCATGTGTTCAAAGGGGTGCCATTTGCTGCACCGCCTTTCGGGCCCAATTACCTCCGTCCTCCACAACCACCGATGCATTGGGGAGGTGTGCGTGACACACTAAGTTTCGGGCCCAAGTCTCCGCAGGTTCCCTATCCACCGGGAATCGCTGACGGCCTCGCAGAGCTAGTCAGCACTGGTGAAGATTGCCTGACCCTCAACATCTGGACACCTAGCCTTGGCACCGCGGAACGGCCAGTAATGGTCTGGATTCCTGGTGGTATGTTTGAATTCCATGCCACTGGCGCTGTAGCCTACTACAATGGTAGTAGGTTTGCCCGAGATGGCGTTGTATGTGTCACCATCAATTATCGCGTTGGTGCCCAAGGATTTCTCTATGTAGACGATGGCATCCCCAACCTTGGCCTGCTTGACCAAATCGCCGCCCTCGAATGGGTGCACAAGAACATAGCCGCATTCGGCGGCGACCCAGGCAGGGTCACTATTTTTGGAGAGTCGGCTGGTGCCATGAGCGTCGTCACGCTACTTGCTGTCCCCAAGGCTAAAGGGCTGTTCCGCCGAGCGATTGTGCAAAGTGGGAGCAACCCAAAGCTGAATTCGACAGCAACAGCGAAACGGATCGGACAGCGATTGGCAGAGATCTTGGGCATTGAGGCTACATGGGAGGCCATCAGCATGACACCGTCTGATCAGATCCTCCATGCTCAGGCGCAGCTGCGAGACGAGCTGGTCGGGCGACCTGACCCGACTTTCTGGGGCGAGGTCGCGCTTAGTTTTATCCCGTGGGCACCAACAATCGACGGGGATATTATTCCGGTGCATCCAATGGATACTATCCGTGCTGGTGCTGCAGCCGACATCGACTTGGTCGTTGGCTCCAACACCGAGGAAACACGTCTTTTCTTAGTTCCAGACGGCTCCATTGATCGCATTACGGAAGAGAACTTATCCGCGATAGCTGGCGTGTACGGCTTGTTGCCAGAGGGCATCGACGCGTATCGTGAGTTACATCCGGGAGCCAGTCCTGGTGAGCTATTCTCGGCGATCCAGACCGACTGGTTCTGGCGGATCCCTGCTATTCGCTTTGCCGACGCCCATGCAGAGGCAGCTAGGGCTTTGACCTATATGTATGAATTTGCTTGGCAATCGCCTCAGATGGGCGGTCGCCTCGGCGCATCCCATTCTTTGGAGATCCCCTTTGTCTTCGACACGCTCGGCCTTGGAACAGAGCCCCTTCTTGGCCCAACTCCTGCGCAAGAGCTCGCTGACATTATGCATCGGGCCTGGGTGGCGTTTGCCACAATAGGAGATCCTGGATGGCCGAAATATAATGCTAGCCGCAGGTCAACTATGCATTTTAATATAGCCTCCAGAGCGGTGAATAATCCTCTTAATATAATAATTAAGCTTTGGGATAATATATATTAATATATTTTTCTCTTTTATTTTTTATCTTATTTAAAATAAAAAAAACATATATTTACTTTATAACGTTATAATTAATAGTATTATTTTACTTAAGTTCGTACTTTATAGACTTAATTAAATCTAAAGGTATTCAATATATCTTAGACCTATCTATCTTTATTTTATCTCTTGCAATTTTATAGGAATCTGTCTGCTAAATGTAAAGATCCCGTCTGCCGAATATGAAGATCCCTGCCGTATTTCATGTCTCGCAATCTTATAGGAACCCGTCCGCCGAAAATGAAGACCTCTGACGCTGTGTTTCCTTATATAAAGGAGTTTCGGGGAGCAGAGCAACTTCGAAATAATAGTATAAAAAGGCCAGACCAAAACCATCTCTCAGCTAAAAGAAACTCGAAATACACTCTACCCTGCATACGGCAACCCTATCTCAAGAACACTCAACCTCGTAAATATTCTATACTTCCACAAAATTACAAGCAACATGCCCGGAGCCCCGATTGAACAAGCGGCTACTATGCAGCAAGAAGCCCCCAGTGGCCTCGACATCCTCGTCATCGGTGGAGGCATTGCTGGTCTCGGCTTCGCCATCGAGGCCTACCGCAAGGGACACAACGTATCTATCATTGAGCGCTCTGTACACTCCCGAGAAATGGCCTGGCTTTATGGATCGCTGCCGCGAGCACCGGGTTGGACGTGAAGGTGTTCTCCACTACAAGTACGACGGCACATACATTGGCTCCAACGCATTCCCTCTTGCCATGAGCCGGGCTATTCTTCATGACACTCTGAACCAATATGTTCGGGGTCTTGGCATTGAGGTCAAGTTCTCGACCCGCGTTGTCGACTATTTCGAGACAGATGATCATGCCGGTGTCACCTTGGATGACGGCTCCAAACTCTGCGCCGACGTCGTGGTTGCGAGTGACGGTGTCGGCTCCAAGTCTTGGAGTCTGGTTTCGGGATACAAAGAGAAGCCTGTTAGCTCTGGCTACGCCCTTTTCCGGGCCACTTACCCCGTAGGCCTTGCTCTTGACAAACCTCACATCGCCGAGGAGTATGAAAACGTGCAGGACAAGTGCAAACTGTTTGCCGGCGACGGGGCTCACATTATCATCGCCAGAGCCGGTCCCAACATGATCTTCATGCTTACACACAAGGTACGCTTACATGATCCTTCTCAATTCGCTTTGCTGCTTGCGGACACTGATGATCTTTCTCAAAGGATACCGGCACCGCCGAGGAAGAGTGGACAAAGCAGACATCTGTCGACCACGCCTTGCCACATGTTGAGGGCTGGAGTCCCGAAGTAAGGGACATCATTGAATCCGCTCCCAACCGTCAAGCCGTCGACTTTAAGCTCATGTGGCGCAACCCCCGCGATAATTGGGCCTCACCCAAGAAGCGTGTCATCCAGATTGGCGATGCAGCTCATACTTTTCTCCCAACTTCTACCAGTGGTGCCACGACGGCACTAGAAGACGGCTTCTCACTAGCCGCTTGCCTGCAGCTTGCTGGCAAGAAAGACGCGCCTCTCGCAGTTACAGTGCACAACCACTTCAGGCAATCCCACGCACCCTATCCTCTGCTTGACGAGGCTGACCCATTTAACTACAGAGCCGAGCGTGTCGCCTGCGCCCAGAGGATGGGCTTCAAGAACCAAGAGCTCTTCCACAGTGCTGACTGGGATGCTGTAGCTCGGGATCCTACTGCATTCCTCACGCCGGCCGGCAAGTGGATGGTGAACCATGATCCGGAGACTTATGCTTACGACAACTATGCTGCATGCGCGAGCCACTTTACCGATGGAACGCCCTTCCAGAACACTAATGCCGTCCCTGGTTTTATCTATAAGCCGTGGACAGTCCAGGAGCTCTTGGCTGCTTCAGATCGTGGTGAGCGGTTAGTGGATGAGGGAGACTGGTAGAGCTATAGTATAGCTAATATAGTTAAGTGTAGCAGGCCAGCTAGCTGTTAATGGTTTCTATAAGATTTAATATTTATCTTCTTAATTATGATTACGGCCATAAAGTCAGCAGAAGTAGGTTGCGTTATTACTTATGAAGCCTAAAGGGACGAATTATACAGAACATTCTGTCCAGTGTTCTCGCAATAGTAGCTGCCGGTTGAAGATTCGTCTGCTCCCTGCTCAGGGTTGGTATGTAGTCCGTGTAGAATATTTTATAACTTAGACCAATGCCATCCATAGCAGTAAGGTCAGGCCATTATATCGACGGCTGCCCCTGTATTTTCTCAATACCCTTTCCTGTATGCCGTCCATCCGATAATCGTGCTTACTCTATACGTGCCCCATTTCTGTTAAGTTTATAGGTAAGGCCTTATAAAATTGCTATAGCATTTGGTGGGCTTGCAACACCACCTGGTATATCAAGAGGAACACTTGTCAAGAAGAATGACCAGCGGTTATTCTCTTTACACTTCTCAGCCAATCTCTCCAGATCAAAGCTTTCGCCAATTGGCATGCCCCAGCCACTGAGAAACACCTCGTGGAGGGCGACACCTGCTGGCCGACAGCTGGGCCAAGCCTCATATGCTACTGTGTCACTTGCGACAGCAGCGAATTGGTTCTCCCAATGCCATTCCATCATCTCTTCAGATGCCTCTACGCCGCAAGATGTCCGAGCTTTCCTGTGAGGCAGTGCGGCTTGCTCTTCAAAGTTTAGGCTTTGATACGCCTTCAACCATCCGGTGCGTATAAAGAGGATATCGCCGCTGCAAAAGGTAGTTCCCTGGTGTGCCGCGACGGCTTTTAATTCCGAGAGGGGGATATTGAAAGACTCAAATGGAGATGTTGTGTTGATGCACATGTGTTCGGCATGTGTAGCCCAGTCTAGCAACACCCCTCGTCCAACGATACCTCGCTTCGAAAGGTCTGATATGCGACAGCTGGTTAGCAATAAGTCGAGGGTTGTATAAAAATTCGCTTACTTTGGATGCCGATCTTTTTCGTAGGGTTAGTTCCCGATATATCGTCTTGAGTCACCCCATTGTAGTAGAGCAGACTGTCTTGGTACGGGTAATGTCGCAGGCCATCCCAGTGACTGGACCCTTGGGTATTCATGTCGAGCTTTTGAATCCCTGTGAATAACAGCAAACGGTTGAATTGCACGAACTACTCACCTCATCATCATTTGCATGACCTTTGGCAATAATTCTATGACTACATGGCTTCCTCACTGGATTCATTGGTTGGCTGAATGCATCAACAGCCAGGCTAACGAGGTCAGAATCACAGGCCAAGGGTGTCTTGAAGAGGCAGATGCTTACTTGAGGACAATCTGTTCGCCAGTAATAATCTCCTTGGAGGCATTTTTGACAATGGCGGGTGTCAGAAGATTGAGTGTTCCCAACTCATCATTCTTGCCCCAGAGACCCCACGCTGAATACTTTGGATCGCCGCTCTGTAAAGGCAATTGGCAGAATTCAGGCCTTGTCCGGCTATTCTCAACGCGGTCCATGTTATTGTCTAGTTTCGTTCTCCAAGACTACTGACCTTGTAAGAGCATCAAAATATGATATGGCTCAGGTTATTGGCAATATAGCATGGCTGCCTCGGATTTGATACCGGATCGGCATGTTTGTTTAGACGCCGACATGCCGACATGCTTTTGCGGACTCGGTATCTTCCCGAGGCCACTCGACACAGATTCCGGTTACCCCAGCATTCCATGACTCGTCTGCCTCTACCCCAAAGACGAACCCTGTAGATCTGGGGAACTCCGAACTCACAATCGAATCGACTTATAAAAACGATGCCTTGACCCTTCGTCAAAGTCAACAGCCAATATCCCTTCAGACTCTGATCGGAAAGTCACACGAGACCTTGAGGACGCAGAGTTGCAACTTGTTTGTCAAACCATGACCGCACATGACTCTCCAGTCAAGTCGGCCCAGCAGACTCAGCTGTCGCAGCACGTTGAGACTATGGCTCCCGTAGAAGATGATATCAAGATGGAGGGTGGCAACGTGGAGAGCCGCTGGACGCCCGAAGAGGAGCAGAAGGCCCTCCGCAAACTCGACTGGTGTCTGATCCCCTTGTCAGTAACCTTTCCAGCGAACGAGTGAGATTTGTGCTAACAAGCTGCGAAACAGGGTCGGCTCACTTTATCTCGTGTCTTATATCGATCGTGGCAATATTGGCAATGCGTACACCGCTGGTATGGGAAAGCAATGGGGCATTACATCTAACGACTATTCTTGGATTGTAACTGCATACTACATTGCCTACATTTGCTTCCACTGGGTGCGCAGTTCTATCCATGACCCAACAAGTACATACAGCTAACAGAATGTCTCCAGCTTATCCTCGTCTGGAAGTTCATGCCCCTACCGGTAATTCCACCGCCCCATATCTCCCGCAATCTGAAGCTGATAATGATCCCAATAGCTCTGGACATTTTGTATGGCCTTTGGATGGGGTACTGCTAGTATTTTGCAAGCCGCAACGACCAATTTTGCAGGTATCATGGCTCTCCGGCTCCTGATCGGCGCATTCGAGGCTGGTTTTGTGCCTGCAGTTGCGCTGTATCTGACCTTCTTTTACCATCGACGCGAAATGGGCCTACGCTATGGCCTGTTCATCTCCTTTTCGCCACTGGCCAACTGCTTCGCTTCAGCCCTCGCGTACGGAATCGTACAGGCAAAGACAAGCATCCACAACTGGCAGCTGTTGTTCATCGTCGGCAAGTATCTATTCCCTGATACCGTCAATCGGTTGCTAATTGCTCCTTCAGAGGGTATTCCCACCTTGCTCCTAGCGATCCTTGCCTACTTCTACCTCCCAGCGTCACCGTCACAATGTCGATTCCTCACCCCGCGACAAAACGAAATCATCAGCCAACGCGCCATCAAGGGCCGCGGGGAGGATACTGAGAGGAAGCTCAACTTCGCTCAAGTCTTTGCTGCGTTCTACGACTACAAGAACTACTTGCAGGCATTCATCATCTTTTGCCTCAATACCGCTTTTGGCTCGTTGCCGGCTTATCTCCCAACTATTCTGAAGGACATGGGGTATACTTCTATAAACGCACAAGGTCTCTCTGCCTGCCCATACATCACCGCTTATTTTGTCTGTGTGGGCATGAGTATGATATCCGACCGAGTTGGCCAGCGAGGTCCCTTTGTCTTTGTCTTCTGCTGCGTAGGTGCGGTTGGCTACATCCTCCTGTCCATCATCCGTACCACCGCCATTCGCTACTTCGCAACATTCCTTGTCTGTGCCGGTGTCTTCCCAGCCGTCGCCCTTACTTTCACCTGGGTCACGGACAACCAAGGCTCCAGCTCCAAGCGAGGTGCAGGGCTTGCCATCTTCGGCATGTTTGGGCAATGCGGACCTATTCTCGGTGCTCGATTGTTCCCCAAGTCAGATGGGCCATTTTACCACAAGGGAATGTGGGTTTGTGCCGGTGTGCTCCTTGCCGCAGCTCTTATGGCCATCATTCTGAGCGTATGCCTTCGCATGCAGAATCGACACCGCGACAAGGTCCATGGCAAGAGTGACCCTGATCATGTTCCTGCTGATATTGCCGAGAAGGGCGATGCTCACCCCATGTACCGATTTGTCCCGTAGGCGCTTATCTTTCTACAAGCCGGGGTTGTTCTTGATGGCATTGGAGCTTCTGGTCCCGTTGTCAATCATTTGTTAGCTTTCGCTTGCAGGGTTCAGTGGTTCGCATTTGTACAAGTAGTTCCGAGGGCAATGGTGTTGGAACAAGGATGCAAGAAGCGTTATGTGGTTGAACCAGATAGCGATATTCCGGTTTAATCTTTAGCTCAGTTAACAATTGACCTTATTGTTAATTATTAAGATAATAAATAAACCTGCCGCCAGTATTTTGGTATACTTCACCTTGTTCTAAAGGTCCCCTTCTGGAGTCCATTATGCTACCTTATTTATACATGCCAAAGCCGCTACAAGATACAGACCACTTGATTAGCTTAATGTATATATCTACTTCATCTTCAAACCCTGTCTCGCAGTAGAATTCATGGGCAGTTAGCTCAGAACAAATATACAGGACTGTGCCTTCTGCTTCGTAACCTTTAACAAAGACTTTTGCATTTGTCCCTTCGAGGACGTCTTGGTCAAAGAACAATACATAGACATTTTGTTTAGTTTTATTTACTCCTTATAAAACCTATTCATTATGCTCCATAGGCCCATGTCCCTGCGTATTGCCAAATATCTCAGTCATATCCCATGGGAATGAATCAGGATGAAACCCAGCCCCGGTATCAAGCATTCCAAAGCTGAATGGGCTCTGGTACCTCGACATGAAGCCAGATACCCCTTCATTTACACCCTGCGCTCCAGTGACCCCAAAGTCTGCAGCGAGTGGAATCTGGGACACGTGCAGAGGCTGCGGCGTGGCCACATTTGTGGACGACTGTTCTCCCCTCTCTTGTCCGGCCTGCTGTATCTCAAAAGCTGCATTACCACCATATGTTCCCAACGGTCGATTCGTAGACGCATTGGGGGTGCCGCTTACTTCCCAGACTGTAAGCTGCCTTCTGATTGTATCCAGACTTCGACCACTTCCAGGGGTGTGCTTAGCTTCTTCCTGCAGCGTCCGAACCGCCATTCCAAGTCGTCTCGCGGCTTCAATCCGGGCCTCGGCTTCAGAGCGCCGCATATCGAGCACATCCACCGTAGCTGCTGTATATACGCAGTAGCTCACTTGATATGTCATCAAGCGATGAGGAAAGCTTTTGGTATAAAGGTCGTGAATTGTGTGTATCCTTTTGGAGTGGTCAACGCATGTGTCGAGCGATAACTTGCGGAGCGAGGCGTTGGGAGAGTGGAGGAGTGGCCGGAGAAGGAGGATGTGGAGTGCGTGATATAGAAAGCTGTAGCTAGTGAGTTGCTTGGTCAACTGAAAGAGTTGCGGGACTTACTTTAGAGAGGCGATATGGGGCGGTGAGCATTGTGACAAACCCTCTTCGATCTTAAGAGAGGAGGGTAGCTCGCTATACCATGCTGTAAGTCTATTTGACATGGCCTCGATCTTGGGATAGATATTCTCTGTATATTCGTGATCAAAGAGTAGCATCATCATGTCGGTCGTTATCTGCAATTTATAAGTGTCAACATCCTGGCTACCTAAATAGCGGCAGAGTAGTATCCTACATACCACATGTAGTTGACAAAATGCGCAGAATGTTGCCGTGTTATACATTGGTGTGGGGTTATAGGCAGCATTAGTAATGTCAGCATCAAGGGGCTGCCAACTGCGTTGATTGTCGTAATGGTCAACTGCGCTCCAAGGTCAGTTTCGAGGGTGCATGCACTTTGACTTCATAACTCACGAATTTCGTCCGGTCCGTAAGGCGACCCTGTTAGTGATGGTGGTCGTCCAAGAGCAAGGCTGAGCGTCTTATCCCATATAAACGCCGAGTTATACAGTCGCTTCCTCGTCTCAATCTCAGAAGGAGTCAAGTTCTCTAGTTCAGCGATTCGATTCGCATTGAGGTGGATCCCAATATCAACCATCATTCTGATCGCCTGTAGCATAGCCAACACTCGATTAGCCGTAGCAGCAAACAGATATAGAGCCAGATGGACTTACCATACCTGTAAAAAGCCACCCTTGGGAGCTTCTACCAATGGCACATTGCCGTCCTCCAAGGATCAGAAGTCCCTGGATTGTTGGTATGCGCGGCTTGGTATTATCGAGCTCGTCCATGAGTAGCATCTTGGCTCGAGAGAAGAACTTGTCGCCCATATTGGAGTCGATAGAATCGCCCTCTTGGCGACTGAGATGCCGGGCAGCCAGAGTAAAGATTGCCATGAGCAAAAAGTCGGAATAGTATGTGCCGTTGAGCGCCATGTCCATGAGGAAGACTGCCACGTACCCCGGTTACTAAAGAACAGCCTTTGAAATGAGGTAGGCTACTTACCTGGTCGATAAATGCAGTTGTGCAGTGGATGAAGCCAAGTCCAGTACATGTCAAGCAACTGCCAACCCGTCTCGTCCGATATCCCAAACGCGGCCATGGACTTGGATTTGGCTAAGGGGACCCATACAGTATCGAGCAAGTCATACTGAGACCTCAAGCGCTCGACATGAGCCGAGTTCGACGCCAGGACCCCAGCCGACCCAGCGGGACCTTGAGTCGTAGGGGGCGATGGAACACTTCCAGTCAAAGGCGCAGCATGGAAACGACTCGTGGGGCCGTTGTAGGTTATCGCACCGTCTTCGCCTATACCGACCTGTGACCAAATCGTGGCATCGATGGTATTCGAGCGAGCATCGCTGGGTGAATGCTGGGTCAAGTGTTGTTGCGCAAGGGAGGACAGTGAAGCAGCAGGCGATGCATTCTCGTCGATGGAGCTCGCCGCGTGGATGGTCGATTCACGTTGCTGGCTGCTCAGCCGCTGGTTCTGTCTCTGGCTCTCTCGAAGAGCAGATTCAAGCTCTTGAATACGCGCGTCAGACGCCTGGTCATTTCTCGTCTGGCTATTTGCGGGCCAAATGCAGGTGTTATCAGACCTCTGGCACGCGCGACAAGTGGGTTGTTCTCCAGTACACTTGATCTTTCTAGACTTGCAGCTCTGAAACATGCAGACTGTGGTTAGCCTGTGTACGATAAGGAGGGAAAAAACAGGCGGACTTGGCACGCGCTGACATCGTTAGCAGGGATACGTTCCAGCAGCGGCATCTTGCCGGGCACTCACAAACCATAACGCCGAGGGTCGCGCCGGTTGGGACGACGTCGCTGCGATGGCGCTGCTTCCGACGGACTCGGACTCACTCGAGATGGTATGTCGCCATCTTCTGCAGTTCTATCCATTCTTGCATTACGTCGAAAAGGACGTGGCAGTAATTGATGTTCTCCCCGCGTCGTTTAAGACCGAGGCCAGTAGATACCGAGCCCAGTCTCATACGTAATCAAAATCTTGGCTAGTCGCGTGCGGGGTCCGGCATGATCCCGACAGAGTCAGACGGTAGCGAGGTCTATAGGGTAGTGGCTCCCAAATCCGACCAGGAATTGAATAATCTACGCAACACGTTAAAACAGAATATCACAATTAATTATCTAGTTTCATCTACAATCAGGTAACAATTCCCCAGTAGCACAACACTGTCTGACTCACAACCACTCAGCTTGATCGCTGCCAAGTGGCTTTGGCATAACATCCCACGAGGTTTGAGCGCCTTCTATACTGACGCTATGTTTGATTGCCCTCATCTCGCCGAATCCAGTTTGGCGCGTCTCCAAAAACTCCTCCACATCAGACGCGCTCTCAAAATCTTCAGCCTCAAAGCCAGACTTGCCAGAATATTGTCCCAAGCTGCGGAGATACTTCATCGCCCCAGCAAGCGACACGTCAACGCGGTACGAACCCCCTTCAACAGATTGTCGATACAAGGCTGCCATGACACCAGAGGCTAGCAAGTAGCCACCTGCATGGTCCAGCGCTTGACACGGTGTCGGACGAGCAACTTCACCGGCGCCGAAGTGCTCGGCCTCCGAGACATTCATTCCCGAACAAGTCTGGACAAGCGAATCGTAGCCCCGCCTCTCTGCCCAAGGCCCCTTAGGACCGAATGCGGACATGCAGCCGTAGATAATCCCCGGGTTCAGGGACGCAACCTCATCGGGTCCAAATCCCTTGGCGGCCAGGCTGCCCGGGCGGAAGCCCTGGATGAAAACGTCACATGATTTAATAAGCTCTCTCAATTTCTGTCGGTCCTCAGTATTGTTGATGTCAATTTGCACTGTGCGCTTCCCTCGACCAAAGTCGCGGTCCATGGTTGGCAGATCTGGGAGCCCTGGGCTGGTGACCCAGATGACATCGGCGCCGTGAGCTGCTAGAGTCTTGCCAGCCAGAGGCGCAGCGATGACCCGACTCATCTCGACCACTCGCAGACCTCGAAGACATTTATCGTTGCCTGGTGAGAGACGAGGTGGAAGTCCCGCTGGTCCTGATGCGATCCTCATGAGAGAAATAGGGAAGTCGTCAATGACCTTGGACTGAGGAAGCATATCCCACTGGCGGTAAGATCGAAGCGCATAAATAGCTAGGCGACGGTCCAAACCGACAGACTCGAGATCAATGCTGGCCCAATCTTGCGTTTTCTTGGTCACATCGATCCGGTCAGCCGCCAGAGGCAAACCCAGCAGCTCCAGCGCTCCATATCCGTGATTGGGGAACGAGTCGTGTATACGGACATACCCATCTGAAGTCTTGTGCAGACCTCCAATGGGACCCCAAGGAGACGGTGCAGGTTTACCATCCAGGACATAGAGCCTCTCAGACTTGAACTCCACAGTAGCGTGTTTTCGAGGAACAGTTACCTTTGGCACGGGGATTTGGTTCCGCTGGGAGTGGATGAGAGCTGCTAGGAGACCTGATAAAGCGATGGTGCCCTGGGCGAGAGATGCGATCTTGAAAGATGAGGGGAGCCCTGGTGTTCCATCGTCGCCTGGGAGTTCCAAGGACCTTAGAGCATCTTGCGGGAGAGAAAGGCCGTTCCATATATCGCGCACCACATCGCGAGAAAGGAAGCTTGTGCGATCGAAGCCAAGTTTACTTGTTGGCGTGGCGCTTCCATTGGAAAGGTGCAGATGGCTCGTAAGCCCGTTACCGTTGACATGTGTAGTGCCATTGGAACCATTGACCCCGTTGACTCCATTGATCCCGTTAACATGGATTGGCTCTCCCTTGGACGACTTGGCATTGTCGCTGCTCGCTTCGGGAACCTCGATGCCCAGCAACAAGGCATGTTGTTGTGTGCCCAATGTATCTCTCTCACCAACACTGCCTTGGGCCCATGGTCTCTTGATAGTGCATTTCCACGCCAGTGCAGGCTCAAAAAACATATTGGTCAAGATCTCGTCATCTTGGACACGATACAGTGACTTGATCACATCGTTGGTAAGGACATTCGCTTCCCGAACTCGGTTGTACACGGCTTCGTCGTCAAACATGATGTCGAAAGTGAGCTCAAAGGGGCCTGAGTTCTTGGATCGAATGATGCGGGCAAGCTCTTCCATTCGTGCCCTTCTGGCGGGAACTTGCTTCTTCTCTGTAAGAGGGTATCAGCCTTGATTCAACATGTAATCCACGATATGTACATACCAATGGGCGCAAGAGTTCCATTCTCGATAGCTGCAAGCCGCTCAGTAGATACAGAGCCTGGGGGTGATGGACTCACGGTCGCTTCAATGTTCCTCACACTAATAGGGAAAAGCGACGAAGATTCGCCCTCCTCCAGATCAACGAGGTGGTACAAGCTAAACTTGAACACTGCACCGGCTTCTTGCTCGTGTGGTGAAAGTGGGCTGGCAAAGTTTCCCGTGGTGGCGATCTGGCCGGGATACGAGAAATGCAGAATAGATGCTCGAGCATTGTTGGCGATGGTGTACGCCATGTCCTGCGTAGGCGCGACGACTTCGCCTAGGACGGCAATTTCGTGAGGCTTCGACACAGCCTGTGTCTCTAACGGGCCCATGACACCGTTCTTACCGTAGATGTGATAAATCAGGCGACAGCTATCCGACTTGTCGAGTTCAGGGAAAAGGTTCTGAGTGTACTTGCGCACGCGCTCGAGAAAATCGTCAACCTGGCTGATAAGGATAGGATCCCGTATGCCGCCGATGAAAATAGTGCGATACCCCAAGAACGTGACGCCTTCGAGCTTCACCTGATATGGTGTCTCCTGAAACTCAGCACCAGAGACACGCGTCGTCTTGTCGGTGATCTGCTCGTACTTGGCATTCTTGAGATCGAGGATGCCACCTGGACCCGGGAGACGGTCTGGGCGAGTCTTTTCGTACAAGGTGTGAGCTGCGACAGACAGAGGTGTGCATCTTTCCTCAGGTGCCAGTGGTGTCAGATCAAAGGACTCGTAGCGCATGGTGGCAATCATAGATCGGCCCTTGGGGATCGCACAGATGCCACCGCATTCCATGATCTTGCCCATATGCCAGGCGACACCACTAGAGATGCCCCTTGACAGGCAGAAAGCGGCAAAAGGTGCAGGGTCGTAGCATCTACCACCGAGAATGACATCGGGGTCGCCTTTCAGGGCTTCGATGAAGCTGATGATCCTTAGTTAGCTCATATGATCGTGCAGGCACAGAAGGCGTTACAACTTACGGCTCAGCGCCCATTTGCGCAACAACATCGACAGCGCCATCAACAACCTCGGGCAGCAAGTCTTCCACTGGCCCGCAAGGACCGACCTTGCGGTTCTGGATTCTGGTCTTGATCAACTCCCGGTCCATGCCAGCGTTGATAGTGGCAACCTTGAAACTGAATCCCAGACGTTGCGATATCGAAGAAACAATGTCAAACATTTCCTGAACATGCTTGTTGCTGCCGTCTCCGCCAACTGAGCCGATCAAGACCTTGACCTTGTGGTGGAAGCAAGCTGTGAGGATGGGCTCGAGGTCTCGGATGTAGGAACCTCGCCCACAGGTCATTTTGTTCATGCCAAGCTTGTATGGCCCTCCATCTGTCGAGCCACTATCGACGATAATGGCTGCGGGCTGGAACTTTTGAATGCCGTACCAAAAGTGCTCGGCATTGTAGCCATAGCCGAGCATGGCATTGGGCGTAAGGATGTTAAATTCGGGTACAGTCATTTTCGCGGTAAAACAATGCCATGAGGTGGATTTGAACCGATAATGAGGAAAAGAGGATGCAGGAAACTGGGGTAATATAAAACGATCGAAATTTAATTGAGATCCTGGAGCAATTCCGCAGTTTGGGTAGGAATGACGGGCCATGGCGGGGCAGATGCCGAACAAGAGTTGATTGCTCGGCATGTTCGGACTCACCCCGACCGTGATATCTAGTTTATGCTCTCAGCAGCGCTCTCGGGTGCAATGCCGAGCGAGACCCTTGCAACTTTGGAGAATGCCGTGTACACCGACTTGACAACCTGGTGTTGGCCATGTCGGCATTTCTACCAAGCATGTTTGTTTCTCGGCCCCGTGGAGGAGGTTTCATGAGCTTCCCCATGGGGAACTCAAGCAAATGGCACCTGCGGGGTAAAATGAAGGTTGCTGTAAGTTATATAAACATCATTAACAGCTTGGTTATGCCATCCGTCCAGAAGGGTCAAAATCCAGCAAAGCCTTTTCTTTTCTCCTGCCTCAAGAATCTTTCAGGATGCAATTATCTTCTCTCCGTACTGGCCTCTGCACCATCTCCCTGCTGAGCGGTCAGGCTGCGGCTCGACCAGCTGCCGCCACGACTGGACTCAGCAGTGATGAGTCATTGCCTTTGAGAGGGCCGTCTATCGTCGAAGTTGGGAGCGCATACAGGAACGTCTTCCCGGCTACAGACTTCAATCGAAATGTGACAACAACGTGGTGGCAGACCGACGTTCTCGACGGCGACACAAGCCAAAATGCTACGAGCTTGAAAAACTCTCTCGAAGATGCATCGTTCATTGTTCTCAACAAAGATATGTACAAGGTAAGGGTGCGAAACCTGTCTATAGACGTAAGATTGGCTTACCCTTGACGTTATGTATAGTTGCTTGGCATAAAGGACCATACAGTTGAGAAACACGTCGAAACCATCTTCGAATTCCCGCCTGGCCCGTCTTTTGCAAAGCGCATAGTGCACGATGGCACCGTTTACTCCCCGGAATGCAATTGCATCTTCATGGCAGAGCTACATCCTCCCAAGACTGGCTATTCTGCCGATGCCATGCCATGGGTTTGGCGCATGAACCTGAACAACACCCCACCAACAACTGAAAAGGTGTACCCATCGCCTCAATTAACCGTACCCAACGGAGCTTATTATCATAAAGGCGGTATTTACTGGGCCCAAGAGGGCAACTATACTGTACCTGGCGGTATTACCCGCATGGATCCATTGAGTTTGAAGACAGAGGTCGTTCTCAACAACTTTTATGGGCACCGGTTCAACAGTCCAAATGACGTCGTCATCACTCGAGACGGCGTAGCATACTTCACTGACGGTTACCACGGCTACGACAACTTCAACGACACCATCAAGCCAGAGTTAGCCAACGGCCTGTGGCGATGGGACATGAACTCAAATGACCTGAGGATGGTTTCTGGCGCTGGCGGGGGACCCTTCACGAATCCTAACGGAGTGGCACTCAATCCAGAAGAGAACAAACTGTATGTCACCAACCGCGGCAACTCCTCAGATAACCCTGCGGGAGGTCGTACGATCTACGAGTTCGAATTATCTCACTCGATTGGAATTCCGGTCAAGGGAGGCGATGTCTTTGCATATGTTGACGCGGGGTTCCCGGATGGTATCAAAGTAGATAGTGAGGGCAGAGTGTATGGGGGAATTACCGGGGGAGTGACTGTCTTTGATTCTACTGGGAAGCACCTGGGTATTATCAAGGTTGCAGAGGGTGACGTTGCGGTTAACATGCAATGGAAGGACGATTGGCTGTATATCGCTGGCCGAGACAAGATCTACAGAGTACAGCTTAGCGCCCATGGAGTCCAAATTTTCACAGCATAATTGTATCTAGAGCAGGGTCAATACCATGAAATAGATACGTATATGTGTAAGGCCAGGATCAGTATTTCTGTTGACGGCTTTGTGCATCCTGCACAAGAGCATTATCTAATAGGAGGCATGCCAGCAAGCCAAGTTGCAAAGAGTTCATGGTTTGAAGATTATCATCTCATTGCAGAAAAACGCCCAAATTCCTTTAATAGGATATGAAACTGCCCAGTGAGTCCTTGCCAATCTGTAGATACATGCCTTTTCCCTTTCAAATTGACTAGACGATTCAGAGGAATAGAATCCTTGCCTTTAAACTAATTACCAGAAGCGCCGGATATCCTTGGCACTTGTGATCTACCAACCAAATTGGCGCCGGCGTATAGACCGATTCAGCTAACGTTTCAGGACGCCCAACTGTCAGCTGTACCCTGTTACTCACCAAAAAAAAGAAACAATTCACTCAGCTTACATTGACCCAGCATAAGTTCAGACAAAAGCACAACCAAAGTTGAGACTTAAAAGCCCTCGATATCCCACTCATAATATAGTTGTGGCCAGCTTCTTCTATCCATTCATTCTTTACTTGTCACTCCTTTCAATTCTTTAGTTCACACTCTTTTCAGTTTCGCGTTCTTGCTTCTTCCAATTCTGGTCTATCAAAATGCGCACGCTTCCCTTCTCCATTGCTGCGGCCTTGGCCCTGGCGGCCAACCCGGTCTCTGCCTTCTTCAGGTTGCCCTGCTCTCGTCCCGTCACTCTCCAGCGCGCCGACCCTATCGTCAACCCAGGACAGCTGTCATCGCACGCTCACACTGTCATGGGAGGGAACGGATTCAACTTTACGATGGATTACGATACGGCAAGGGCCTCAACTTGCACCACCTGCAAGGCCCGCGAGGACCTGAGTAACTATTGGATCCCTAACCTCTACTACCGCGGCCCCGACGGCACCTTCCAAGATGTACCCCAGTCTGGTGGTATGCTGGTGTATTACCTTCAACGATCAGACCCCAAGGACCCAGAGTATGAAAAGGGCTTGCTTGCCTTCCCTGAGGGCTTCCAGATGCTGGCTGGTAACCCGCACCTGCGAAGCTTCAAGAACACGCTGGAGCAACGAGCCATCTCATTTGCCTGCCTCGGGGTAAGCGGGCCAGAGACTCACGAGATCCCTTCCCATAATTGCCCTAACGGGTTGCGGGCTCAGGTCATGTTCCCCTCGTGCTGGGATGGTAAGAATCTGGATTCGCCCGACCACAAGAGGCATATGGCGTATCCAGATCGCGTTGACAGTGGCGTTTGCCCAAAGTCGCATCCAAAGCGCCTGGTCACGATATTCTATGAGGTAGTCTTTGAGATCGATCAGTTCAAGGACAAGTGGCATGGTAGCTCGCATCCATTTGTTTTCTCCACCGGCGATCCCACCGGATACGGGCTACATGGTGACTTTCTCAACGGATGGGATGTCAAGGTCCTGCAGAAGGCAGTGAAAGAGTGCACTGACGATTCTGGGGTCATTGAAAAGTGCCCCGCACTTACTTTCTTCGACGACGACGCCATGAACGGATGCCGAGTGCCTGTTCGAGTCGACGAAAAGACAACTGGTGTCCTCAAAGCTCTCCCCGGATGTAACCCCGTCACCTTCGGCCCAGAGCCTGCTACCCCTATAATGGGAGATGCGTGCAACGCTACAAAGAAGATCAGCCCACCAAAGTGGCCCTTTACCGACGTTACCGACACCAAGAAGTTCAGCTACCTTGGATGCGCCAAGGACGCCTACGGTTCCCGCAGCCTTAATATGGCACAGAAAAGTGGCGATAAGATGACGATTGAATCATGCCTTGACTACTGCGAAGAAAAAGGCTACTCACTTGCTGGTCTCGAATATGGTCGAGAGTGTTACTGCGGAAATACGATGGAAAAGAGCCATCTTCCCGTCAAAGGACAACTTGGTAAATGTGAGATGCCTTGTGCCGGAAACAAGGAACAGGTCTGCGGAGGTCCGGGTGCGCTTTCTCTTTACCAAAAGTGCAAGCCATCGGAAGGCTCCTGCAAGAATGCCCAGATTATGTAGGGATTCTTTTGAATACCTTACTGTTACTAGCTGGTCAAGCCACAAGACGGTGTCTCTCTAGTATTAATATCTTTATTTCTCTTAGCCATTTTATTTATTTATCTACTTGCTTTACTTACTGTATATCTATCTCTACATCAGTGAACTCAGCACCAGTATGGGATAACTGGCCAGAAAATCTAATGCAGTACCTACTGCGTTTTATAATCCAACTAACCCTTTTTATACTTATTCGAAGACTAGTCGACTTATAGGTCTTTTTATATTTATCAAACTGATGGCACCGTCTCAGACTTCTCTACCTATAGGAGCAACGGCCTAGTTCGTGACAAGAGTTATTATGATGCTAGCTTAAGGTACTATAATTCTTTAGTCAAAAGCTTGCATAGCTTTCCATGCAGTATAGGGCCGTTCTACAATCATTTCCTTCACTGTAGGCAAGGTCAAGCGACCCTCCCCAAACTTAACACTCAGTGTCATAATCTCACGCCAATTCTTGCCAGGAGCAATCTTACCCGAAATAGTGTTGGGCACTAGACTGTCACTATTGACGGGAACCAGAGCTGACCGCCCCAAGATAGCCTCCATGGCTTGCTGAGCAAAAGAAACTGCCTCTTTAGCATCAGATGGGACTCCAGTTTCATCTAGTGCCCGACTCTCTGTATCCGGAAGCTGCTCCTTGAGGTATTTGATGATTGTCGGGTTTCGGGCACCACCGCCGCACATATAAATCTCTGCAATCTGGTCCACGCTGATGCCAAAGCGGGGGAAGAATGTTCGGTATTGCTTGATGATATTCTGGGCCGTTATACGAGTAATAGTTGCTAGCATGTCGTACTTATCGCAACCAGCAGCAAGACACTTGTCAATCAGTTCCTGGCCTTCATTATCCCCAAATGTCTCTCGTCCTGTGGTCTTGGGAGGAACGTGGGTACAATATCGGTTTGTACTCAGGAACTCATCAACAATGTCCTGGCGCACAATGCCTTTGGCACTCCACTCGCCATCTCTATCGTATTCCATATCGCCATTGGTAAAATACCTCATAGCGTTATCGATAAACATGTTACCCGGGCCGCAGTCCCTAGAGATGTTAGCCGCTTCGTTGGGGTGATATGCATGTAGAGGACACCTTACCAGTCTACCATGGCGTCAACTCCACCTTCGGAATCGGGAGGAATGACACAAAGATTGGCAATGCCGCCAATATTCTGACAGATCCGCCACTTCATCGGATGATGGAGCAGAAGGCCGTCAATCAGAGCAACCAATGGGGCCCCCTGTCTACCCACGGCTTGTTCCGCCATTCGGAAGTCTGTGACAGTTGTGACACCAGTAACGGCACTAATGACTGTGCCCTCCCCGAGGCAAAATGCAGAACGTGTCTCTCCCTCTTCCGGCATAGACAGAAGCCAGATGGTCTGTCTATGTGATCCGATGAGGTCAATGCTGTCCATGGATATACCGTGCTTATTGCAAAACTCCTGAGCGGCATCACCAAACATATGTCCGAGTTGCACATTGAGTTGCGACATTTTTGAGGGAGTTGTCTTTGTCACCCGTAGCATGGTAAGCACGGGTTTCTTAATCCATTAAGGTACGGGCATCTCATCATACTAAGCATATTATCAGCACGAAGATAAGTGAATAGATGGATAAGAATGAGTGAAATATACTTTAATGAGCTCCATGCGGAGAGGTGCAACCGGGGACTATTGGTGATATCGAACAAGTGCACAGTCGATACCGTCCATGGCAGTGCCGCTGTTCATCCCCAGGACAGTTAAATCAAGCGCACCAGTGGCAAATATCCGCGCATGGCCATTTCCATTGAAGGAACCGCTATCAGAAGCATGTGGAAGACCGTTGGTAGCGGAGCGGCTCACACTTTGCTGGGTTTGTGGTCGTGTCATAGTGAGATGGTGTGTTATGAAGTTGGTGAAAACCTTAGCAAGTAATATGTTGAGTTCAAGATGTTTGTTGAATAGCCTCGGGGCATTTTCATTGACATGACTGGGCATTTAATATAATCTGGTATTCGATGGCGCCTTGATACAAATTATAGTTAGAATCCTCGATTTAGAAGTTCGTGACGACGAGAGAATATCAATAGCAATTAGTAAATCCCCCGAGGCGATATTCCTCTTTTGATAACTAGCTTGTTCTGCAGAGAGATGGTAACATCCAATTTTCTAACTTAGTGTTCACGCTATTTTAACCTCTCTCGAATCGAAATGCCATTTCGGGCAATTCGTCTCAATGCTGCATTGGAGTCAGGAAGCTTGTTTATTTCCGTGCATTATCTCCATAGGCAAGCCTAACCTGAAACCTAAACAATTAGCAAATGCAAGTCCGGTGGAAAGGGCATATAATCCTATTTATTGTCATCATATCACGACCTTGAAATTGTTTTCCTTTCAATTGAGAAGATTAATGCATGCAAATATGGCAATCCCTCGATCTGTTTGGACGTCCGACGACGGCAGCATGGCGCAAGAGACTGCCAAGTTTTGATGGCCTAAGCTTGTGGAGGGCATGATCCATGATGTCCGTGCCACCGGCCCTGAGCTTGTAACATCCCGTGCCTATGACGAAATCACTTTGATAGAGAGAAGTCTTGGAAGGCTCATAAAGGAAATCAATGATGATGCTCCGCTGTGGTGAGTACTCCTTGTGAGCTTTTCCGGTCGGATTATCACTAATCAAAGCTCAGTCCCCTCGAAGATGATGGCTCGGCGGATATTGCGTCGTACAACCAGCTCCTCCTCAATATGGGCAAGTTGACCTGGCTGAATTGTCCATGGTTGTACGGTGAATGCTACCTGTATCGGTCAGTCAAGTAGTTGTTTTATACCGTTAAATGATGTTAACTTCAACAGACGAGTGCAGCTATTATTCTCCAGGTCATCTTCCTGGAAAGGATACGATGTGTTTAAACGTCAAAAGGATTCTACCCTTGTCAAGTCGAAGAAGGCCGTCCAGGAGCTGGAGAGCAGGGTCACTCAAGCCATTGCAAACCCGATACAGCCACTCCCAAGCTTGGATGACGATTCAGCCAGAATTGCCTTCTCTGAAATGACCGAGATGTGTTTGTGGGGAAACGCAACAGATCTGTCTCTTCTGACCAACCTTAGTCTGGAGGAAATTCAGAAATTACAAGGAAGCGCCTTGATAGAGGAGAGTCAGCGGAACATTGTCGACAACGACACATCAGACGTGTGGCTTTATCTGCAAAAGGCCCGGTTTGCTGAAAAGAATCGGCATATTGACATCGTTCTTGACAATGCTGGATTTGAGCTATTTGCAGACGTCCTCTACGCGGCATACCTCATCGAATCTGGTCTAGGAACGAGCATCACTCTCCACGCGAAATGTTTTCCCTGGTTTGTCAGCGATGTAATACCCAGCGATATGGACTTCCTCTTGGACTATCTGCGTTCCATAGGCCTGAATTCTTTTGCCACCCAGATCGAAAGTTATTTCGATCTCGGCTTAATGCGCATCGAGGTTCATTCGTTCTGGACGACAGCTTGGTCATTTCACGAGATGGTCGCTGTGGCACCTGATCTATTTCAGCAGCTTCAGGCTAGCTATCTGGCGATATGGAAAGGAGACTTGAATTATCGAAAGTTGACCAGAGACGGTCTCTGGCCGCACACAACGACTTTCAAGTCTTCACTTGGTCTACTAGGTCACCGAAGCGGCGTCAAAGTCCTTGAGTTGAGAACAAACAAGTCTGATACTTGCGTTGGAATTGAAAGTGAGGAAATCGTCAAGAAGCTTAACCGGAAGGCACCTGGAATGGGATGGGTTAGGGATGGGAAACATGCTTAGCTAAGTTCAACCTGGATAACTCTAGAATTTCGCATTCGACTTTAAATACCGAATCCTTCCTCTTAATAACACTAGATAGTAGATCACAACGACTTAAAATAGCAAAATACGTCCCGAGTTCAAGTATACAATACTCTATAGAATGTTATCATATCCTGCATATCTAACACGCATCCATGCATTCCCCTTTCACCTTCAAATCCTACTGAAACACATCTTCCTAAGACTATCTATATCTCTTACGCTATTCCGATAGCCACATCTCTGATAATTGCCTTTCTAAGGTTACTAATCCATCTCTTGACTTCGTGTTTCTAAGCCCGGCACTTCTACTCAGTCTCGTTATTTATTGCGTCGCGCGGGGAGCCATGGCCTGTAGGCCAGCATCCTAGCTCGCGTTCAAAAGGACACCTTGCTCTCGAAGGGTATCAATTGTTTCCCTTGTCCATTCCTGACAGCGTCGAAGAGGCTTCCTGGGGTTGATCCTCTTGGGTCCGTTGAACTGCTTCTCCGGCGGAGGATTGGCCTCGCAGATAGCTTGAACGCGAGGCATATCATTAGCTGCAATCACTCCTATTTGTGACCATGTCTCGAAGGTTGCTGACAGCCTCGGACTCTTGGATGTTTGCCTGATTTCAAGCGTACAGCCCCTCTGTATATCACCGGTTACGTGAATAAGGGTTCCTGCTTCATTTTGGGCGTTTTTGACAAAAATTGCGTGGTGGTTTCGCTGTCCACCGGTGTACTCAACAAGATAGACAGAAAGGTATGACATGTTTGATGTGAGGATAGTTTGATATTGTTTAATTTGAGCAAGATAAAAATGGGCAGTAAAGAAACCGTCGTGAAGAGATCTTCCGAAGATGCAGCTGAGGCTGTGAGAGGTTGTTGTATTTGTTGAGGAATGGAGAGGTAGTTTGTAGTTTTAAGAGAATAGGAAGATATCTCAGCATTTATATACATCATTCTACTACATGGATAGTCAGGAATAAATAAATTCTGAGTTGGAGATAGCTATTCTTGGACCTGTTGGTTTTAAAGTTTTGATGTTTCAGGTGAAATGTTGCAAATCGCAGCCTGCCCAGCGCTTAGGACCATGGAAATACAAGAATCAGAGGAGATTTCACACTGCGCTGTCTTGTCACTGCCAGGGTATTTTTTGGCGGTTAGCAAATTGTTGTTGGCCCGACTATGTCCGAGCGATACAACTCTAATCCTCGACTTCTTGAACGTGGTTCGTGTGTTGGTTGGTCGCTGCCCCACCAACCAGGGGTCCAGCGCTTAGCTTACGTCAGTCACATTCAGCCGAATGATAAGTTACGCCAACATGCTCAGTTCACTTCTTCCACTTTTTTCCTCTCTTTGTTACAGAGAACCAACACAAACCAACATTTAGTCACCAACATCTACGGAATTACCACTTGGGATGGAGTCCGTCACAGCTGAGCCACTGCAATACGACGTCCTGTTCAAGGATCAGCCTCAGGACTTTCCTGGCCCACTACCAACTCCAAATGATGTTGAGAGCGGGGAGCCATTGCCAAACCACACTGGCAGCGCCAATCTTGTCAGGATCCGAGAAAACTGCGTTATGAAGTATGGTTCAGAGGTACGACCTACGGAGGCTCACAATATGCTCTACATCGCGAAACACATTTCAGTAGCGTTACCCAAGGTCTATGCTATTTATCGACGGAAAGAAGAAGACAGCGTCGTCACGTATATTCTCATGCAACATATACAGGGCAAGACCCTTGAGGACCTGTGGGCCGAACTTGACAAGACGCGGAAGACCTCTATCGCCAAGACTCTTCGCACCTCATTCGATCAGCTTCGGCAGTTAAAGCACCCAGGCTATTTCGGCGACATCAACGGTGGACCACCACTGGACGACGTATTTACAGGAACCCAAGGAGGCCTCGACAATATCAGATCATCTTTCGCGACCGAAGAAGAATTGATAAACTCAGTCATTCGAATCTACTCACTCGAAACTGGAGACCGTACGGCTCACAAGGTGAAATATTACCAGCATGTTCTGCCAACCGTTCTCCTCAGCAATGAGGCTCCTGTCTTCACGCATAATGACTTGCAGAGGAAGAATATTATTGTGCAAGATGACGGGACTCTTGTCATTATTGACTGGGAGTATGCGTCCTGGTACCCCAACTACTGGGAATACTCGTCCGCCATATTTGCTAATGGTGGTTGGAGGGACGACTGGGATGAATACTTGCGCATAATTTTAGATGAATATCCCAACGAGGCACTTTGGCTGTCAACTCTGAAGACTGAGATGTGGAGTTAAGATAGCGGGAGAAATGCATATATAAAAGAATCTTTTAATCTAATAAAATAGTATTAGACTGCATTTTAATATCGATTTTTTACCCTAATAGTATTATTTACATTAATAGCTTCTCGATAATTAAATTTATATAGAAAATTTCTATAACAGTAAGGTCTAACTATATTAAATTAAGTTATATTAGGTTTATTATTAGTAGATTATATAGAGTATAAATTAAGTATTATTAAAGTATTATATCTCTTAATAGTAAATTTAAAATAAATAAGGCTTAATTAATATAAAGAAATATTATTAATAACTAATAAGTTAAGTTCTATTTAATATTAAATAAATATATATATATATTAAATAGCTTATAGTAAGTTAAGCCTGGTCTTTAGTCTAGGTATTATTCTGGCTAAATAAATACTTAAGGTTAATAAAATTATATAGCAATTATAGGTAATATATAGGCTATTTACCTAAAATAATATTCCCTTAAGATAGCAGCAATAATTAGATCTAAAGTAAATAAACCCTAACCTTAAGTTAATAGAGAACTAATACTAAATACTAATAATAGGGCTAGAAAATAGTAAAAAAAAAAAGTTTAATTAATTAATTAAATATAAATAAATAATAATTTAAAATAGAGTTTATATATTACTATAGCAATAATAAAAGTAAGTCTAATAGAAGTTATAATAAATAATAATAGTATTATTATTTAGATTTAATTAGATTTAAGTATTATATTAATAGCCTAATTACTATTATAACTATAATAAATAATATAGTAAACTAAATAATCTAGCTTTATAAGTAACTTAATATCTTACTTTATTTAATCTATAAGGCAGCTATTAAGCTTAAAGTAGATAAGATAAAGTATTATTACTATAACTGCTATAAAACTATTAAAAAGTAGTTATAAGCAGTAATTATATTTATAGTATTATTCTTACTATTAGGATAGTGCCTTTAGATATTATAAGACTTAATAGATAAGAATATATAATTGCTACTAGATAGAAATATATTAATTTTAGGGCTAA